GGATTTGTGACTGTTAGCTTTAACCAATACTTAATCCAAAAATGGTGAAAGGTTTGTCTTTATTCGGAAAAAGACACCCATTTCAATATTATTTTGGAGAGGGAATTATTTATATTTTTATAAATATCTCTATAAATCAATAAATACATTTTTTGTTTTCAAATAAAATATACTGTATTGTGGTTGTCGATTTCTTAAATAAAAGAACTTGATTCTAAAAAATTCGTTTATTCTAAATTAAGTATCATATACATGAAGGGTACTTAGAACTGTCATGGTTTGAAACTTAAATGTACAAGTGCAATGAAACTTAATAGAACAATTTATACAAAATTAATTGAAAGCTCATTCACTCCAATTTCAAAATAATATGATAATCTTACCATATACCCCTTAAAGTGAGTAAATATGCTGGACCGTGAATTCATATCTGTTTATATGAAGAAATTCTGTTGTGAAAAAATATAATTTACATGTAAGGTGAATAAATTTCTAATCAGATAATTAACAGCAAAACAATATTGAATGGTAGTCTTATTTTGACTGTATTGCTCGTTACTGGAATGTTGAATCCTTCTTCATGGAGAGCTTCCTTGAAAAAAAAACAAATTCAATTTATATAGTAAACCAAATGTTAAATTTCTAATCAGATAATTTAACAGCAAAAACAATATGAATGGTAGTCTTATTTTGACTGTATTGCTGTGTTACTGGAATGTTGAATCCTTCTTCATTGAGAGCTTCCTTGAAAAAAACAAATTCAATTTATATGTAACCAAATGTTTTAAAAAAAACATCTGGATACAAATCCAATCAAAAGTAAAATCATAGTATTTAGTATGTCTAAAAAATATATTAAACGTTACTAACATGTTTTGATTTAAGCAGGTAAAAACGAAAAATAATTCAAAACTGTATGATGTTGTATTAGCAAAAATAAATCTTATTGACGATGTCTAACTGTTTGAAAATACTCCAAAAGTCAAATTAAATATCTTAAATGAGAACATTTTACATAAACGCATTTACATTTTTATTGATTGATACTGTTGTTTTCACCAATTGCCTCTTATAGTTTGCAAAATAATACGATTAGGTCTTGAGTATGATATTTACTATTTTCATGATAATACTTAACATACTTGATAAAATAAATTTCATTTTCTATTGCATGCAGTGATGATTGATATCTTTTTACGATTGCATATTTGTATGACGATTTATATATAGAATTGGACCGCTACTGATTATTTTGTAAAAATAAAACCTTTGTATTATATGTTTATGTATATGTACTCACAGGCATTTGCCTTTTATTCAATAAAAATTATTCATTTAGCACAAGTTTACGTGTTGGTTAAGCCTAATAAACGATAAAATGGGCTTAACCTTGAAATGAACACACTGGAAGACTTTTTGCGTTTGTAATAAATCATTTTAGATGGAATTCCCCCGAGAACACCGCTATTAAATTGTTTTATGATATCAAGGCAGTGTTTTTATTGATTATAAAGCCCTGCTACACATTTTGCAAAAGTTCTTGAATACAAAGCTTTTTCAGGGCATCGAGTGAACTCTATAAAATGAGAATATTGTTCGTTTTAGAAATTTCTGGAAAAAATGTTATCCCTCGGAAGCAGTAAAACAGCAAATTTACATTGAAATTGCAGACTCGGTTTGCTTGAGTTGGTACATGTAAAGACTTTAAAATCGATTTTAAACATAATAAATAAATTGATGTAATATTTTGGATTAATATGAACTGATAATGCATTTGATTCTTGGTCTGGTGTAATGTGTAACTGCAAATATCTTTATAAACAAACACAGGATGCAGAATGCATGAAACTGGTTTAATGATAATATTTATAAGCAATTCATAGTAAAATAAACATTCAACAGTAAAATAAGGGTGGACAATTTTCTGAATATACTATGAATGTAAGTTATAAAATTTAAGATTGGTTGAAAAGAAAGTTTTGATTATTACTAATTATTCAATTATATAATATAATGTAACGCTACCGAAGAAAATCTGTCGGAAATAAAATAGAAACCACTTTTACTTATTAATTAGAGGTAAATACTTGGTTGCTGCTCGCCATAATGCAATAATGGCAATCGTATCCAAAATGTTCTTCGGGCCTGAGGCCCTCAGGCAATTATGCATATCTTCGGACCATTATCGCCTATTGGCGAGCTGCAACCAAGTATTTGCAGCAACGTCTTGAATACCTTTGCCGGAAATACGGCTTTAAGACATTGCCGCTAATCTTTGTTGTCGCCCTTAGTTGTCAATGTAAATATATATCTGTCTCTGAACATGATAACACAAAATAAATAAAAGAATGTTGTTGTTTTTTTTGTATAAATTGATAAATACTCTTTATATTTATTTGTGAGAATAACGTTTAGTGCCAGTTTTCTATGCATTTGTGTACTTTCAAGAATGGTTCTGATGTCAAGTCACAAACTAAGCTTTAAATGCCCCCAATATTTTTTCTACCATCAATCTAAAATCATTTTCGGAATTTCTTAGAGTCATGTTTTGAACACAGGGACCCAGCACAGTGTTGGGATAGTGTAAAAAAGTAATTCTAAAAAAATATATATACCTTATATATAATATATAGACAAGGGGTTGAACTCGCCAAATCGGCCGATTGTCACTAGTCCAGTACAAGTCAAAATTACACAGTCATTTTTACGTAAATCATATAAAGCTATATATCAAATTGCAGGTAAATGACATCACTAGACGTTGACAATAACATTATTGTCCCCACTTAAACCGTTTTTTGAACAAACAAACCGATATTTCAGATGGAAAATCGTATTTTTGCTAGGTCGGACACGACCGTGTAACCAGTCCCTACTCAATTTTCTACGTGTAAAAACGCAATTCCAAACAACGACAGTGTATCATCTCGCAATAAATCGATAAAACACATTCAAAGAAACAACTTACCGCTAAAATATTGATCCAAAACCAATCAATTACAGGTAACATTCGGTTTTTTTTGTCACTCTTCCGTGAAAATAAACAGCTGAAGACATGTTTCTTGTCCGAGATAAATACTCGGCTCCGGTTGTAAGACGCCTTTTGATTGGACGATTCTGTGTCCCAGCTCAGCTATCTATTTCAATGCTGAATTCGGGTTCCATGGCACGTGAATTTTAGCGCTAATTTTGAAAGTCCGTAATTATTTTGGTGAAAACAACTTATTTTTTCAGCTTTTCAACAATTCGTTCCTGATTCATAGCGAAAATGCTTGTAAACTGGTAAGATTGTATGTTCCGTGGAAATAATGACATTAAAAGTACTTGACACATTAAATTTACACAAGAATTGTCCATTGTTTACATTGCATTTCAAAGGATTCTATGCAGGATTCTATGCATATACATGTATATATGGCCTATATCAATATAAATAACAGTGTGGAAAGTTGGAAACTCCTTTTTTAGGTATACTATTCAAAGAACCCATTTAGTGGCGTCCCCATGATAAAGTTTATTCATATAAGCTGGTATCTCCATAGCTACTAAAAGGATTGGATTGAAAGTTCATATGCTGTGATTATCTAACATGATTGATACCAGTACCATAACTCTGATTTGCTTTTTTGCATATTTATGCCCCTTTTTCGACTTAGAAATTATTGGGTAAGTTTTTGCGTGTAAGCTGGTATCTCCATAACTACTGAAGAGAGTGGATTGAAACTTCACTTATTCTCTGTGATTATGTTACATGATTTTGAAAAGTCCTATAACTGATTTGTGTTTTGGCATAAGCTGGTATCTCCATGACTCCGAAGGAAATGGATTGAAACTTCATATGCTTCTTCCTTGTAATTATCTAAAATGATTGGTACAAGAACCTTAACTCTGGTTTGCTTTTTTGCATAATTAAGCAACTTATACAACTTAAAAATGTTTAAGTTTTCGCGTGTAAGCTGGTATTTCAATAACTTCTCAAGGGTTTGTACCTTTTTTGAGACAATTTCATGTATTCATATAGGTAAGCATTATTATATTATGTAAAAATTTGGATAAGTTATAGAGTTTTTTCAATACAATTTTCAATCACATTCGGGACAGTTCCATTCAGTTCCTTCCTTTGAATATTTTTCCATTTTTTTTGCATTATGCAAACCAGCACATTTTCTGTGAAACCAATAATTACAAGAATCAAATAGAATCCATTGATTTCCTTCTGACTTTTGACATTTTTTACAGAGATCACTTGTCAAACTTGATGACCCTGGTTGGGGTTCAGGCTCTGGACTGGGTTGAACAGTTACTGTGGGTTGTACTTCAGTAGTTGACTCCACTAATTGTATTGTTTCTGTAGAAGTTTCAGTAGCCTTTTTTTCTGCTTTGTATGCTCCGAAGATTTTGACACTTTTATTTGCTTCCTGTGAGCCATTGTTTTCATAATATGAAAAGCTCCTTTGATATCTCGGCAGAACTGGGCAAATAAAACCATAAAATATTTATTAATAATTTCATTGTATATGCTGCATATCTGGGCAGTTGTAAGTACCAAAGAGTCGACAAGTTCTGTTAATATCATATGTTCTTGGTTTAAAGAAAATTCTTCTACTGTCTCCTCTTTCAATTTATTAATAACCATATGTGAAAATTGTTCAAATAAACCTTTTTCACTAAGCACATGCTCCAAACAATTGTTAAACATTGATTTGCCATATTTTATCAAATTTTCATTTATTAGCTTTGCCAAACACAAATCAGTTAAAGTCAAGAAAAATTTGAACATACTATCCGTTACATTGGTAAGACCACGTTTTACATTTTGTTTTCTTTCAGTGTCTATGAGGGAGTCTGGTTCAGATGTCACCTGATGTAAATAATGTTCTTCTTCTTTGAAAGAGTTAAGAATAAGAAGAGTATTTTTAGCTTCTTTAAATTTTGTTTGTGATGTTTTAGATTTAGTAAACATATTAGATTGTAATACTTGCACATATTTTTTTCTTAGCTTTGCTACACAGTAACCTGCAACATAGCGAATTCTTGACCGGGAAGCATCTGTAACAAACCTTCTATTAACATTCATTCCTTGTGTTTGTAGTAATTCAAGTCTTTGTGTTAGTATAAAGTCTCTAATATATTCCACAATCATGTAACAAACCATTTTGTGTTCTTCTTCAAACAAATTATCTGTTCCCATATTAAATAAGCTGAGACAATCCATTGTATATTGGACATCAAGTGTATATTCATACATTTTTTTAAAAAAAATTGCCAATACACTCTCTGGTATAGAAGTACCAGGTTGAAAACTGTCCATATTTAATTCTTTGAAAATATTTGAACATGTTAAGAATAATCTTTTTACAAAAGTCACTAGTTTTAGGTTTTCAGGATGAAGTTGTGATAATATATAAGATTACATTTTGGCTGAGAAGTTCCAAATGGTTTTTTGAAAGCAATTTCTGCAAGCATATTCTTCATGATGAATCTATTGTGAATTTCAAACTGTAATACCTCTTGTTCATCACTATCAATTGAAGCAAGTATATCATTGAAGTCATCCTCAAGTTCCATTTCTTCGCTAGTAGTGTCTAAGAGAATACTTGTGCTTGTTGCTTTCACTGGTGTTGGTATTAGCAGTTGCTCTGTTTCATTACTGGAATGAATATATAATGAACATAAGATATTGTAATTAATAAAGAACTAATAATTGAATTGTATCAATATCTATGTATTGTTGCTCTGGTAATTATATTTGTGAAATATCAAATATGCTGCATTTGTCATTAAAAATGGTACCAAAAATTTTGTAATATTTCAAATCCATATCATTTTTGAGAAATACTACTGATCTTTTTAACTGAACCATAGCTTATATAACATGAAGATTTATCCCCAGAAATAATGTATACATAGTTTGATTCAATTTTTGTCAGCCAAATTGACAATATCAGCTGAATTTGAATTCATGGTTTAGATTACCAGAGCATCAATGCATGTAATTATGCATGCTTTTTTTAACTATCTGATTATGATTTCTATGTATTATTAATCTATTAAAGGTGTATAAAGCTATACATAATCTGCCTATATTTAACAAAATCATTATTTGAATGTAATAAAAGTAGTAAAATGTAAACACAGTGCATTTTGACTTCCATACAAAAAAAATTAATAATAACTATGCCAAAACAGCAAAAGGTGGTTCAAAACAGCAAAAAAAAATGTTAGTTATTTTTTGGACCTAATATTACACACACAAAAAAATTCTTAAAATGAAAAGCATTTCTACAGCATAATGTGCCTTTAAAGAAAATAACTTTTGGCGAATAGCTAAGGAAATAACATCTACCATATCATATCTTAAGTTAAAAATGCACTGTATTTGCATGAAACATCTGGAGGCATGTTGTGTATAGCTATATTTTATACAGGTGAAAGTTATTTCATATTGTGACATGCTTAACTAAAATATGACAAATATACATGTATAATTTTTTTAAAATTCTATTTATGTCTTCTGAATAAATAAAGGTTTCAGGAATATAAAATGCTCTTTTCAGATGAAGATTGTTAATATATAAATGTATGACAATATAGAAATTATTTACAAACTGGTTTAAATCCAGTTAAACTACAATGTACAACCATTTATACTGAATTCAGATAGGAAAAAAATATGAATTTCTAATGTATTTCTTATAGTTACTTTACAGGGTATGCTATTTTTGATATAAACAATTTTTCTCCACTTTAAACATGGTCAAACAGTTAAACCTGTGTAATGCAGTTGATGAAGTTAATCTGTGGGTCAATTCCTACATTCATTAAAAAAAAGTTTAAAGGCACATAATGCTTTGGAAATGAAAGAGTTTTTACTAAATATATAGAAAGAGAAATCAGGTGTTTCATAAGATTGATATTAATGGTTTTTGAGAAGCCTTATCACCCATATTGTCATAAAAGTATTTACATTTAAATAAAGTAGTATTTTGATTTATATGCATATTGGCCAATGAATGACATTTTATAAACTATAATAGGACGCAAGAAATGAAAAACTTTGTGAGAATTAAAAAAGCATTTCCGGAGCATGATGGGCCTTTAAAATTGCTACTATACATAACAATTTGAAATACAGAAATGCAAAACTTAATGTTACTACATGTATTCCCATATAATTGTGTTTAATTCAAATGAACGCTATCACAGGTTCAACTGTATTTTGTTATGGTGTATAAAAAAATCAACATCTAATTTTTTACTCAATTATTTGATAGGATTCTGTCAAGACTGACACCTGTCCCAGATGGAGAAGTAGACATAAATATGCTCTTGGACACTTTCAAGTTTGAATGTCTAGAATCTGGAAAAGGCTCTTCAATACCTGGCTCAATGATATTTGTGGAACATTTGAAAGCTTTAATTCAAGGTGTTAAAAATGTAAGAAAAAAGGTTGGCACACAACTCAAGACATATTACAGAGGTCTTTGCATTGACCCTATTGATACATGTTCTGTATCTGATTTAAGATGCACAACTACATGTATTACTAAATGTCAACCAGACAATTATTATATAAAGAAGATAAGCCCTGAAGAGATTATTTGTGAAATACAAAGTGGCTACTTAAGTTATGGTAATGGTGTAACAAAATCAATAACTTTACATATGAATGGCATGTGGGAACTTGAAATTGCAGGGAAAAAAGTCAATTTATCCAAAGCATATATTGATGGAACATTTCATGCAAGTGAAAAGGGTATAAAAGTAGTTTTTTCCATTGTTGACAAGATTCAACTTTGCTGCGGCCTAGAAATTACCAAGTCCATAAATGTAAGCCGATACCATAACTCTAGACTTGTGGAAAAGACCTGATAATACAGCTGTCAGATCAATGAGGTCTGTAATGTGTGAGAAGGTAATTTCCTTAAATAGCCATACATTTGTTTGTAGAACCTGTCAGAAAATGACCTTTTCTCAGTCTGACAATAAAGAAAACCAGCCTGAACCACATGCTCCTGGTCCTGAGTCCCTAATCAAGCAAGTGAGGAATCTTTTTCCACGAGCAGATGAAAATATGATAGAATTACTTGTTGAACAAGCCAAAAATGTTGGCAGACACCCAAAAGGTCGCAGATGGTCAAAGAAATTTATTGGTGTATGCATGCAAATGTATAACAGAAGTCCTCATTGCTATGGCCTCTTATATTCAAGCAAGTTATTAGTACTACCATCACAATCACTGCTAATATTATATAAAAATGCTATAAAGCAAAAACCAGGATTTGAAGATGTTGTTTTCCAATGGATGTATGCTGAGGCAAACAGGCAAAATATACCAGAGGGTGAGAGATATGGGGGTGTCATATTTGATGAAATGGCCATTCAAACTGATATTCAGATTGATAAATATGGTGATGTTGTTGAAATATCTGGTTTTACTGATTATGGGAAGGAGGGAGACACCTGCCATGCTTTAAAACAAGGGTCTAAAGAAAAGAAATTAGGCAAATATGCACTCCAATTACTTTTCCTTGGAATTGGTTTTAGTTTTCCATTGGCATATTTTATAACCAACTGTGTACAGGCATCTGAGCTATTTAGTATTTTCTGGAAAGCAGTCTACTTATTCAGATCAGCAGGATTTACAGTTCTTTATACCTGTATGGATGGGGCTCAAGCTAACCGTTCATTAATGCACATGTGCTTGGGAGATAAGTCACATAGTTATATAGCAAGAAGTCCTTGCACATCAAATGACATAATATTTTTAATGGACTTTTTACATGTGGTAAAAAAACTGAGAAACAACATTCTTAAAAGTGGAATTCATCCAAAAAGTACAAGAATTCTAACTTTACCAAGTTCTTACACTATCCAGTGGCAAATGTTTATTGACTTTTTCAACTGGGACCAGCAAAATGCTCTACAAACTCATAAAAAATTATCTAGAGAACATTTTCATCTTGATTCACAATTGAAAATGCGAAATCGTTTAGCAGAAGATGTGTTAAATTCTGAAATGTTGCATTCAATGAAATTGTATCAAAAGAATCTCGGTCAAAAAGGTGAAGTATTAAATGGAGTTATAGAACTGCTTGAAAATACATCAAAATTAATTGATATTTTTCGTGATATGAGACCTGTTAAAGTGTTAGATGATAACAGACTTGGAACTTTACATGCTGTTGCTGAATGGTTTTTCCAAGTGGGACAATTTAGTTATGAATAGCACGGAAATTTCAGAAAAAAAAAAAGGAAAAAACTCTTATCTCAACAATGCGCAGAAGATGTACAGTCATGTATTTTGGGTTTTTATTGCACTTTGCAGAGCAGTGCTAAATAAATCATCTATAATGTATATCACTCCAGGACTGGTCAACTCTGATGTTATCGAGAATGTTTTCAACCAGCAGAGATCCACTTATCATGGAGCAAATTCAAATCCTAGTGCACTACAGTATCAGCGAGCAATAAATAGTATTCTTGTAGGCCAAAACATGGTCTCAAAAAATCAAATGCTGCCACTAATGCAAGAGTCAAATATGAACCATGCCATTTAAATTTAAACCAGCCTTTACGAAAAAGGCCATCAATAAGCTGTACTTCAAGTGATGTAAAGGTCATCCGACTGTAATTAAATATAAATATGACATCTAGGACAATTTGTGAAGTTTCATAAAAATCTGGAATAGAGATGATCCCACGGAAGCAATGAAAACAACAAAACTATAATCATAAAAAGCAGACAGTTTGATTTGAGTATGTTTATGAGAGATAATGTAAAAGTGACACTAACATTTTGGATACTGATCCTGCTGAAATATGATAATTAAACAAGATCAACATGGAAAGGCGGCGTTCAATTAGTTCAACCCCCAAACAACCCAGCAACAAGGAGCCCTGGAGGACCCCAAACAAAACAGGACAGGGTGCAAGGCAGAGCACAGACAGGATAATCACAAAAATGATACTTAAGGAAATTAAAGACAAGAAATAATTGATTGATTAATAGGTCCACAAAGAAATTTTAACAAGGCCTTATGACACCCCCATACTCTCTGGAAAAGAGGAGATCCTTCGAGAGCAATGAAAACAAATTTAAACTAAAACCCGTCTTGGGACAGCAGGCTGCACTTTTCTCGGTGCTGGACAGTTAAATAAAAGCAACATAGAAATTAATTAGTGTACTCAACATTTAACATACTGGAATCAATAAGTGTGAAGATCCAGAATAACATTACTACATTGTAAAAGTGAACAGTAACAAAAAGTTAAATCAAGGAGTTCTCAAATGAATTATTCAGTAATAATCCATGCAAGAATACTAGATTTTGGACAACAAATGTCATCTAGAAAAAATGGTATTGCTGGAAGTTAAATAAGCACAACTCCAGTGGTTGAGCAAGTGTTTTGCCAGTGATGACACTAAGGTGAGTAAGACAAAAGTACTTTCCATTAAATAATCAAGCTAAATATGTATCATAACATTAGGAAGAAACAATTCTTTCATTGCTTGGATTGGTTGTGATTCTTATTAACTTGAAAACATTATCACCTTATCATTCTACAACAGCTAAAGTCTTCAATCATTCCATTGCTTTTCATATCCGAAATCTGTTTGATAGCAGCAGGTGGGCTAAATATGTACCTCGGGTGAAAATTGATTACACGCAACCCCTTTGAAGACTTAACCCTAGAAATCGCAACCCCTAGCTGACCTGTCTTAAATATATCATTGCAGTCCGCTTCAAGCCTGAAAAATATGTATTTTGTATGTAATAAATAGAAAACCATGCTCTTAGTTATATTAATCTCACTATTTTACTTTACATGAGGAAGATGCAATATTTCCATTGTCTATTTCAAATGACTTATTATTGTTTTTTATTACTAATAAAAATTTAAATATTGAGTTCAATTATATAAGATAGTAACAGTTACTAATGTATACAGACAGTACTGTTTGGAAGTAAAATACATTTAGGAAAATATTTTTATGAACTACATGTATATTTACCAAGGCAATGTCATCCCCTGTGCTTTATGAATTGTTAATGCAAATGCTGGTTTTACAGGAAACTGCATTCTGCTTGCAATATCTGAATTTGTCCTTGGATCAAACACTGTTCAATGAAAATAAAAATAACAACATTTTTTACTTTTTTGAAAAAAACATGTATGTGCACAAACCAATTACTAATTACTTTAGACTAGCATGTATGTGTTTTAAACATATGTTATTACTGATTTAAATATTAAAACAGAAAAGGCTCTGACATGAAATATTAGTTTTACCTGTAAATGACTCTTTATGCAATGTTTGTGTCTTTTGTAAACTGGGAAAGTACACTGCCAGTTTTGTCTCAGTAGCATACTTCAATATTCCTCTCAACCCATTCACAAGTGTGTCACTTAAATTTCGCAGCAAAATCACTGGACATTCAAGCTTCAACCATAATGTTTTAGGCACTGTCAAAGATTTCAGTTCTGCTGCATTCCCATTGTATGTTGCTTTGAATTCAAACAAGTCTCCAGGAGAATTCAGTAAACACTGATGATTGTACGTATCCACTAATAAATTGGTTGAAAATAATTTAAGGCTGCCACCCGGTAAAGATTTATTGACACTGTTCATAAATTCTATGACACATTCAGTTAAATTGCCTTGATATATATCAGATATAACTTTAACAAAAAGTTCCTCATCCTGCCGCACATTTTGAGTTAATGTTACTGTATGAGAGAAACAAGTTTGAAAGAACTCACTTAAGAAACAATATGTGCCATCGTCATTGTACCTTTTGTTCGGTACAGGTGGGAGCTGAAAAAAGTCACCACTGAATATAATTTGAATTCCTCCAAATATTTTACATGGATTTTTAATTTGACAGACCTTTTTTATGGACTCGAATGTACGTTTACTTATCATAGAACATTCATCTACTATTAATACATCTGTTGTCATAATTGCATCAATAATCTTGTCACACTTGGCATTGTTTTTCAATACTGACACAATTTCATTCGGATCATGCCTTCCATCATCTATCCCAGTGAATTTGTGTATTGTCATTGGTTTTAAATGGGTGGGGTACACTGCACATGCTATGCCCGTGCTGCATGTCAGTTTCACTTGTTTACCTTTTTCATTCAATTCCTTACAAATTTCAGTAATAGGATGGCTTTTACCCGTCCCAGCCGATCCTAATAAAAGAAGGGTGTGTCCAGCACTTGCAATGCTTAAAGCATCCCTTTGTTTTTGGTTTAAAGACAATTTTATTTACGTTTTCGTAAACCAGCAATGTACATTTGTTTACATTTACATTTATCTGATACTTATACCATTTTTCTATTGCAGCTTCGTAGAAACCTACCTTGCAGGACAGGGAACCAGAAATCAACCAATGAAATTATCCGTTGCAAATCGGTCACGTGATAACCACTGGATGCGGATTACCCTCGGATTACAACTTTCATTTTTACGTACAAGAAATTAGTTGTTTTCAGCTGTTATAAAACATTTTGAAAATCAATATTTAGCGGTAAGTTGTTTCTTTGAATGTGTTTTATCGATTTATTGCGGGATGATACACTGTCGTTGTTTGGAATTGCGTTTTTACACGTAGAAAATTGAGTCGGGACTGGTTACACGGTCGTGTCCGACCTAGCAAAAATACGATTTTCCATCTGAAATATCGGTTTGTTGTTCAAAAACGGTTTAAGTGGGGACAATAATGTTATTGTCAACGTCTAGTGATGTCATTTACCTGCAATTTGATATAAAGCTTTATATGATTTACGTAAAAATGACTTTGTAATTTTGACATGTACTGGACTAGTGACAATCGGCCGATTTGGCGAGTTCAACCCCTTGTCTATATATTATATATAAGGTATATATTTTTTTTTAGAATTACTTTTTTACACTATCCCAACACTGTGCTAAGTCCCTGTGGTTTTGAATTTGGTAGAGTTACTGAATTTTTCCTTGAATTTATAATTACAGTCGACTCCGCTTATAACGAACTCAATGGGACATAAAAATACCGTTCGTTATATCCGAAGTTTGCTAAAAGCGAAAAAAACAACTACTTTCCTTGATTTGTGTGGGCGGGCAAATTTGCCGGGAAAAAGCCATATCCGTCACCGGTTCATGTATGTATGTTCATGTTTAGGTTTCGACATTGTGTGAAACGGTTCAATTTGTAGTTTGAAGTTAATGTAAGAATGTTTTAAATAAAAGTATGCATAACATCAAATTTGTCATAAACATTACCATATGGTTTAATATGTATGTTATGTTAAAACACACCTAAAAACCTGAGATAGATGAATTGTTTGACAAAAGAAATTAAAGAAATATTACCCTGTTAACACTATGAGGGAGTATTATCAAATCTACAAGTCCATTTTCGTATTTATCTATATCTTATATATCCACCAGAAGTCTACGAGTAATGTGATTCGAGGAATAAACCTACGATAAAAATGAATAGAAATATTTTATTCAAATTGTGTATGGAGGACGTAAACGTAGACACATTTATAATGAGTTCAATGTAAGAATATTAGTAGAATTGAAGTCATATGTTTTTTTTACGTTAAACGTTATCACATGACTGGCTACTTAATTCATTTCATCATTTATAAAAGCAGGTCAGATAAAATAGCTAATGCGCTTCTGAAAAGTCATATGAATTGATTTTTTATCACATGCAATTAAATCAAGTTTAATTTAATTTTTGATAAAAAATTCATTACGCAATTGCAAGAAGGAAATAATTTCTCATCTTTTAAACTTTTTTTTCCTGTATTTCTGCCTTGTCATACATTTTAAATGTCTTGTAATCTTCAGAGTTTGCTTCTCGTCAGCTAATTTAGTTGCAAAAATAAGCAAACAAATGTCAGAATGTAATGCGCTGTTAATTTAAATGTATAACTTGAGTGTAATATTACAGATGTATCTTTGTTTGATATTAACAATGTATCATTTGTGTTATATTACCAATGTACCATTTAAGACTAATGTTTATTAAAATTTAAGAAAGTAACACAATCTTACCTGGCATTCGAGAGCAGACCCATCTGATACCTCTTCTCAGGTTATTTCTTGAATAGAAAACTTTTCAAGAAACACAGGCGTCTGTAATAAATAAATAAAATAAATAAATTAAAACATAATTATATCACGTAAGAATGTTTCCTGTTTTCGATTTCTTTTTTGTTTTGCATTAATGCCATTAGCTTTTACATGGCGGTTTTTATGTATTTTTAAAAGCCTGCAAAAGCCAACGTCGTTTTATGTTATTCATCTCTACTTTAAATTTTGGTTTTACAACCAACAGATTTAAAATCTTGAGAATCTATTCTGCTGTCATGAATTTAATCATGTTACTGATTTTCGAAAAGTTTATTTGATAAAATTTACTCACCCTTGATTTATTTATTGTTTTATTGCTGTATTTAAATGTTCTACCGGGTACTAGAAATGCCTTCACATTGTAGTAGACCAGCAATTTTGAGATCACCTGCCTAAAAATGGAGATAAATAGTAAAAAGTTTAAACATTTTTAGCTGATAATTTTATGTCAAATTGTTTGTATGCCGACTACGGCTATAATAATAAACATACAATATAGGAATTATCATATGTAAATTTTGTATCAGTCATCTTTATTACCTTTCCATCTTCAAAATTGTTAGGCTCGCAAATAAAATCCAAATTAGAATACAAGACTGAAATATGCTAACACAGTGACATTGGGGAATCAGTTGAATAAGTTGTCTATAGGCGGGATATATATGTTTCACTGAAGTCACCTATGCAACAGCAAGAAAGCTACGCAACAGCATCAGTAAGTTAAATCATAACAAATATTTGATATATATGAATAAACGCACAATGGAATGTCACGTTAACTTTACCTCAATAATAATCACATTTAAAGCGTTGTCTGAAAACTGTAGTTGTACGTTGAATCGTCCTGTGGGTTGTAAGGTGTGGCATACCTTGGAGCCATCATTTCTTCCGGGTTCAAATCGTGCATCATTACCGATGTGTCGGGTAATCCTATCCCTGGTGGTCTCTGTAACGAATAAAAATAGTGAACACTATCACAAACTGGTCCTTTAAAATGAAAAATATATATTTACAAGATTTTTGGATTATTATGTTTGCATAACATTTAAAATCTCGATATTGTTTTTTTTTTATAATACAGAAAAGAAATCATTTTATTATACGCGTTTAAATATATTTAACCTCTAATCTGGTCTAATGAATTGATAAACTATTAATGTCTTTTTCTTTGATTCAATTGTTAGATATTAGATAGATAGATATTTATTCAGGTTAAAACACATATACATGTATACATAATACAAACACTTAAGCATTTTATATAAAACGGATGACACAATTGTAATAAAATATTTCGGAAGTTTGTCAAACATAGATATCACAGAAGGCTCATTAAATAATAAAATATTATAACTAAAAACAAAATCTAAATCTCTTTCCTTCCTATGACTAGATATCAAATTACTAGTTTAATAAAATGTGAGGACGTAAGTGGAAACATGTATAGAGTAGTGTGCAATAACCTCGGATTGCCCATGAAAGCCCGAAGGCTTATTTCCAATGGGGTCCTTGGATATATACTTACTATGATATATTACTATAATATACAATATAAAACACAAAAACATTGAAAATACAAAACTTTGGAAACTGGAAGATGTCATTTACGTAAAATATCAAACTTTAGTATTTCCATTAACTTTGCTAAAAGGAAAACAATAAAAATGAGATCAATTTCTAGTCATACTAGTGGATTTAATTATGATTTCCTAACCTAACTGTTCTAGTAAATGGGCCTTCACTGAGCTTTTGAAATCTCCTATCTTATCAATTTTTTTATGCATGTTGGCAAGGAATTCCAATCATTAATTGCTTTTTGAAAAAAAGTTACATTATCTTTCCCATAACTTCTTGGGACCCTAAAATTGTACTGATTCGACCGAGTTGAATAAGAATGAATGTCTCTAACAGGTATAGACTTTTCTATCATATATGAAGGGCACTGGTTATTAACAATTTTAAAAACATGATTAAGATGTAATTGCTTATTTCTGTTTTCTACATTTAGTAAAGACATATTAGCAAGAATATCATTATTGACACTATCTCTAGGTCTCATACCGTGTATAAATCTAACAATTTTATTTTGACAAATTTGAAGCTTATTTCTAAAACACTTGTTCAGGCTCAGGTACCAAGAAGAACATGCATAATCAAGGTGACATTGTAATAGTGCTGAGCATAAATATTTTGTAGTCCTAAAATCTAAAGCATTTGCTTGCCTATACAAAATCTTAAGACGTGAATTCACCTTTGTAAGAATACAATTAATAATAGATTCACCTGACAAAGAATCATCAATATTTAAACCTAGATATTTAACAGATTTTGTGGATTCAATAGTATGTCCATTACAAACAATTTTAAACTCTTTAACTTGTTTCAGTTTACGTTTGGAACCAAACATAAGACATTCAGTCTTTCCTAGATGAAGTGACAATTTGTTATCTACAAGCCAAGATGAACAAGACTCTAGTGTTTGTCCAAGTTTTTGAGAAATAATACTTGGATTTTTGTGAGCAAAAGAATTGCACTGTCATCGGCATATAGAATAAGTTTACATTCTTGATCTATACTAATTCTCATGTCATTTACATAGCACAAAATAAAAGAGGACCCAGGATGCTGCCCTGGGGAACCCCACATGTAACAGGCATGTAAACTGATAAAATATGTTTATACTTACATTCTCATTGTTAAATTGATATGATGGAGACACTCCTTGTTACACAAACGCAAATAATGAAAAAAAAAGTACAACGATATATTTCTTTTGATCAAATGAAATTTTCAAAAAAGAAATTATTTACGCTACTGTATTTCAAATGTTTAATAATATAATTTTTGTACTTTAAGTTTAAAGTCTAAACGGCTTCATTTGATCGATAACAACACTATATTTCTATGTTTACATCAATCTGAGTAAACCATTTGATGGCGTTTAATAAATCTTACCAATTTCGGCCTTTTTCTCTGATATGGCGGTGCTACCGCGTTACGAGTATGATCCAAAACATTTAATGGCCTGACTACAAGTGACGACAGAAAAACCCGTCTTCCATCTGGTCGAGGTCGACCTGTATACAACAATATTATGTGTCAAAATTGTAATGTTACTGGCGAAACTGATCAATTATAAAGCATGATATTTTTATGTTAGTGATTTGAATAGCAACATTTTTTTCGTCTGTAGTAGCAAACATTTTCTTTTATTTCGGAACTATATCTGGAGTTATTTCGTTTAATTTTCAACAAGTTTGGTAAGGATGTACAAATATCTCAAAAGTCTTGCATAAGAACTGCGCACACAGGTATACTCTAACGGAGAAGAAAAAATGCATTGACGGGTAGATTTTTTTTAATAAGCATAACTCGGGGCTCAATATAAAATAGCTTTATGTAATGACGGCCCCGGTAATTTTATCATCAAAAATAACTGTCAAACGATATCGCACTAGCACGTAAAAGCATGACACAAGAATGCTTAATACTGATAGGGAACGCGATAATACCAATTTTGACATTTACTTTTTATGTTAGTATAGTGCAAATGTACCTATATACTTGTGCATTTATATCTATAGAAGAACGCGGAAAAACTCGGGCCCGGGCTTTAAATGCGTGCTCGTGATTCTGCAGTTGGAAATGCACGAAAAAAGGTGCATTTACCCTTTTGTCATGAATACATTTATTTGATATTCACTTGAAAACGATGTATTATTAATTACACTGACTGCAAACAATATGCTTAGCATTTAAAGATAATGATTAGTTTAAACGCACAATCGTTTCAGAAAACTATAAAAGTCGTGTAACATACCTGGTACTGGTGGTTGCTTTACTGAAAGTAGAAAAATAATGTATATATATATATAAATATATAAAATATCAAATATATAATTCAACAAAAAAAAAGATTACTTTGCAATTTTCAGTAATTTCAAAACGTTTGTTATGAGTTAAGCTTCACTTGCCTAGTTTTTATATAAGCGTGTTTTTACGCAAAAAATGTTTGTATAAAATTTATTTCTTACTTTCAGGAATGAAAATAGCTGTCGGCCGACGAATTTCTGCAAGTGAATGACTCCTTCGGTATGGTTGTGGTCGTTTACGTTTTTTCTCATGTTCTTGCATGTCAGCAGGTTCTTCTAAACTTGACCTCCGGTTTTCTGGTGGTAGCTCTTCCTCTAGCGTGTACATCTCGTCCATTTCTAATGTTTCAGAGTCTGACAAATCTAAAGAATAAATACATTATTTTAAAATCTCAAGACTTGACTCCGGAAAACTCTTGACTTAGTCTGATATGCATTACAGTATATTTGTAACTTCATTTATAACCACTTTATTAATCATCGCTTTATTGACAATCCAATGTCTACGAACACAATCAAAGTCTATCAAGAGCCTTACTTGTCAAGTAAATATTTTGCAAATAATGTTATAAATAGATAGTCGGGAAATCGAACCCAGGCGGCCCTATTTATTGTCAAATGCTCTATCAATTTAACCGGACATCTCAAAATTTCAATCAACAATTATGTTTTTATAAATCACTTTTGGTCACTCTAGCTTCTAAAACAGGATGCTTGACAAGCTTGTGCTCGATGAATATATAATTATTAAGATGGCTTTTATCTGTAAAAGTTTAAAAACTGCTTTGTATATGTTCTCTTAATTCATATATTGATATTAAAGAAAAGCTTAAAGAGCCTTAAGCTTGGTGAATTTTTTTATATGATTGAAACATTAACGTGTTCTTATTAAAATACTCTTCGATTTTTTTACATCTGAGACAATGAGCATTTCTTTCTAAATAAAAGTGTAATGTTTAGAAAGACTTTGTAATGAGTATATTTGAACTATAAATGACGTCTCCTCACATGTGCGAAACCAAAGATTATTAATTTATAGCCCTCCAATTTATATGATATAACATATTCTCAATAAGGTAGTGGAATCCATTAACTTAATTATTATCTATTTTTGTCACAGACTTAGTATGGAAATCAACCTAATTGTAAAGCGAGGCTACGTTTTCATTTTTCTGATTGAATTTATCGTAAAAATAAATAAGCATATAAAAAGAAGACGTTACTCCTGATGGGAGATTTCTATAAAAGTAGAGATTTCCATCATTTGGCTACAACTCTTATTGACATTCTACGCGTTTAATACAAATCAGTGACAACAAAATAATGACTAAGCCACATTATGTTTTTTAATCTGGATAACAAAATTGTGCCTAACGAGAAGATGTTGGAATTAATAACCTACGCATGAGTTCTGATATTCTTAAAATCATCATTGTCAACAAGACCACTAGCTAAGATCCTTATCTGATCTTAAGAAAGGCTGGCAAAATTCATCACATTTTTCTTAGATAATAGAATAATAGGAAAAACCCTATGTGAAAAAAGCTCCGAGAAAATACGTTCAATGAGATAAAAACTTGCTATTTTAGTAACATTGAATGAACTAATTCAACGTGGGCGTCATAAAAATCACAGAATACGAAAACTAACGTTCCGATATATCTGACGTAAAATTACAGATTTTGTTACTGCGGTCACTTACAATTATAGTGACATTATGCACATGTTTCATTATTGTCATTATCAAGTTGATCTGAATGGCTTTATTCATGTATTTCAAAAGATTGACCCGTCATAATGGTGACTGACTCACAGTTGCTATTGGAAAATGTTAAACAAAATTTTCTTAGACTGACCCACTTTGGGCCAGGTGAGTTATTTATCGTTCGAAAGAAATAAATTATGAAATATAAAGGAATTATGACAAAATGTTAACTTACTTTGACTTTCACCTGTTCACAACACTTGGATGGGCATAATGTCACTTTAAGACATTCGCTACAATTTTCATATATACTTAGGGAGAATGAAACCAGTGTCGTTTCTTTTATATTTTTCATTATCTTACAATATCTTAATAAAAGCATTTGAAGCAAAAAAAAAAGGTAATAGCAGTCATCATTCCCGCTTTTTGGGTTACCTTCTTTGATATACATGAATTTATTTTGCTTATATCAAAAACAAAACAAAAACAAAAAAGAATCTTTAATATTTGATATCTTGGTTGGGTTTTACATCGCACCAAGACAGTAGATTTATATGGCGACTTTATAGCTTTACTGGTGTTGGAAGTCGGGTGGCACGTGAGTGGAACCTCCGACGTTCGTTAAGCTAGCTGGATAGCTCCTTCACCTGCAAATAGGCCAAAGACCCTGACCAGATTCAAACTTACAGAAAAAAATTCTAAATGAATTGTAAATGTTATATGGGACATTTTCTTCAATATTTCATGCCATTTTATAAATAAAAGTACTAGACAAGTATAATCTCACCAGCCAGTAATTCATCAGTGTCGTATATCTTCCTGAGCTAGCATTCGAACCTTTTATACTACTTCGACTGCTTCCAGAACTTCTACGAGAGGTACAGTCTGAGAGTAACGATGTTCTCCGAATGCACAGACTGCTACCCGATCCTCGTCGATCATTTGACGCTAAAGATGTCCGTCTGCTACTCAAACTACTTCCAAAGTCTCTTCGATCAGTTTCGTTTGAAGCTATAGAAGTCCACCTGCTACCTAAACTTTCAGCACTACATCTTCGTAAATAATCAGAAGCATATGATTGTCGTCTGCTGCCATAATCCACAAATATTTAAGGAACCACGAATTTCCTCTGCTCTTGCTTTTTGTTCTGCATTGGTCCCATAACTAAATTTTTTTGTCTTCTTGTTTTTCTTTTTTTCTTACACCAGCTGATAGTAGAGGGATAGTGAATGTAAAATCGTCAATTCACCTGTACCTTCCGTATTTCGGAGGGATACTGATCACCTGAAAATGCCCTTTGAACTTTTAACGTCAATTGATCAGATGTATGTCAAATTTATTTGGACCACTAACAATAATTCGACCAATAACGAAATAACTGATTTGCCTTTCGAAGACGGTTAGTTATGATTGAGAAATGACCTTTATTGCTTTTTGATGATCGTCAACGTCGGAGTCGTCATTTTAGTCGTAGTTCCATCGGCATAGTCAGTCGAAGCATTATCATCGTTATAGTTTTTATTTCAGTCGAGTAAACTTGACTATTCTTTTAGAAGTTGAAGTAATTGTAGTCACCGTCTCCGTTTATTTGAACACGTAGTCTTTAGTGTCGTTGAAGTCGTAGTTGCCGTATTTGTAGCCAGATTTGTTATTCTTATAGTCGTTGTCATGGTCGTTATTTTAATGTCAGTGGTCGTTAAAATCGTAGTGGTCGTAGTCGTAAAGTCGAAAGTGAACATGCGCTCGTAATTATACTCGTATAAATTAAAGTTTTATAATATGTTAGTTGTAGCTGTATAAGTATCGTAAATATGTAAACAGTACTCGCGGTCAATGTCATTTTGGTTGTGGAAAACGACTTGTGGTCGAAAAAGTCACCAAAGATGTCTGCAAGGATTTTGGGGTGATAGATACAGCGAAGATAAACGTCGCACTAGTCGCAGTCGTGGCGAAGTTACCGGCGTAGTATTTGAAGACGAAGTTGTGGTCGTTAGAAGTGGAATTGTGGTCGAGCCCGTTATTATTTGGAGATTGTAGCTGAATTTGTTGTCAAACAAGTCTTAAAAATAAATGTTATGTAACCGTAGTCCTATACGTAAAAGTTTAAACTGACGTTCTTGTGGTCGAAGAAGATGAAGTAGTGGCAGTCATCATTTAAGTCGTATTTGAACTCGTAGAGTTGTTGAAGTCGTTATCGTAATCAAAACCGTCATCGTTGTGGAAAAAGTTGAACTTGGATTCGTAAAATAATTCATTGTCATATTTACCGTTGAAGTCGTCTGCGTATACGTAGTCGTCTTCGTCGTAATTTTGGTCTTTGTCTGAACGAAAAAGTGATGACGATCATCATCATAGTGATTTTACAAATAAAGCTATATACTGCAATATGCAACAATGACATTGTAAGCTGTATTCTGTTTAAGCTGTATACGGTGTAGCAGCAATCGTCGTAATGTGTACACGTCTTGAGCTGCATACGATGCATTTAACCTCTCGGTCGGGAGTGTACGTTTTACTGTATAGCAAATCATACATATGTGGTGTGTACACTTATCCATGTATTCAGTTCATCTTTTGGTTCATTTCAAGAATTGACATTGCTAGTAAATGACATAGTACAAATGATTAAAGTGAAAATATCCGTCGTGATATAGTAACTTTGATATATACAAAACATTTAACAGTGAAACCACTCTCATAAATACGTGTATATAACATTTAATTCGTTGGTGATGATATACTTTTTTCATTTCGAGCTTAAAGCTTGTGGAACTCAAACTAGTATTAGATTTCTATATATGTATATTAAACAGAAAACATCAAGTTTATTCCACATGCGATATTAAACTAAAGCAAAACTATTATTTTTCTCGTTCCAGACACATTGAACAATGTCATTCATTCAATAAAGTATCACAACTATTGGGTTTTCTTACTAATATGAAACGGTATAATGTTGTAGTGATACTCAAAACAGGAACATAAAAATTAAAACATTTTATATTATAATAAACAGAAAAATTATACCTCTTATAAAGAAGTCATTGATCTCTAAGCTATCTTAAGCTGGTTGAACTAGACTTAAGGAAAAATAATATAAAAAATAATAGTAATCCAGTAACATGTATACAACGCCAATTTAAGCAGTTTAGAATGAATAATTTTGTATGTTTTGCACTTTGCGGTGCTAAATTGTACAGACACAATACGTATCCAAATATATACTCATGTTATACAACTTCAACAAGATATTCTCGTGTTACAAAGCAAGCAAACAATATTTGAGCAATATTTCTATACATCAACGTTAATCAACCAACATGTATTTTACATGATATTGTTAATATCTATCAGCCGCCAACACCAGTATATTGATTTCATTGATATCGGATAATTACACAACATTTATTTCACCGGATATAACAGCAATCATCAGCAACTGTTAATCAATTTTACACACAACTAATAGAAATATAGAAAGGATGAAGGAAACGTAGTTCAAATGTTCCTGTGTATGAACGGATTTGCTTCTGATATAATTTTATTAGGAGTCATAAACCATAAATAGATGTATAAACATATTTGTTACAAAAGTATTTAAATATTTTAAACGAGTGACAGACCATATGTGCGCCTAAATGTTCAATTGAAATTAAAATTTGGAAAAGAAGTGATCCTTTGGAAGCAATGGTATAAAACAACAATATTATATAAAAAAAATTACAGTCTTTGTTTGCGCCTGTCATGAGAGATCACGTAAATGTGCAATATCCATCATTATCCCCTAGCACAGGCTCAAGCGGTATTCAATAATCTTTAATACTGACGTGCTGGGGTTAGTAATCCCCCAAGGACCAGAAAAAGTGGTAAGATAACATAAAAAGAAAACTTACAATATAAGCGCCGTATAAGCCGTTTCAGCCCCCTGTCCCAGAAAGTCCTCGACCGTATGGATGGGTATCTAAAACATATGAATACTATTACAAAGGAACATATCCCGAGTGTCACTACTCCAATGATTATTCCAGTAAGCTCGTCTGTAGGAACTGAAATAAAAGAAAAAGGGGAAAATGTAAGTTTATTCAACTCGTGCAATAAATTCAGTATTGAACTTACACCCATTCAATATCCTCTATATATACATGTATGTACTTAATAACGTAGGTTGTAAATAACAGATACTGTTTAAGTAAATCGTTAACAAACTTGTTTATTTATTTTTGACTTCTAATTTTCATTAAACCTGCGATCAGTGCGGACAATGATCAGCTTGAATGTTGTGCACTGTTAGCTGTTAAGCCAATACTTATCCTAAAATGATAAATGGTTTTGTCCGCATTCGAAGAAGGACACGTCCATTTCAGATATTTTGAGAGGTAAGTATTTATATTTTATATAAATATGCTCTATAAATCAATAAAACATTTTTTTTTCAAATAAAATATACGTGTATTGTGTGTTTGTCGATTTCTTGATAAAAGAACATGATTCTCAATAATTGTTTTATTGTAAATTTAAGTATCATATACATGAAGGGTACATAGAACTGTCATGGTTAAACTTAATGTACAAGTTCAATGAAACTTTTAATATGGACAATTTAATTGAAAGCTAATTCATTCCAATTAAAGTATATATGATAATTGTAGCATACACCTTAAAGTGAGTAAATATGCTGGACGGTGAATGTCATATCTGTTGATGATTTATGTATATTTCTGTTGTGAAAAAATATGATTTTACATGTTAGGTGAATAAATTTCTAATCAGGTAATTTAACAGCAAAAAAATATTGAATGGTAGTCTTATTTTGACTGTATTGCTGTGTTACTGGAATGTTGAATCCGTCTTCATTGTGAGCTTCCTTGAAAAAAACAAATTTCAATTTATATGTAACCAAATGTTTTAAAAACATCTGTACTGATACAAATCCAATCAAAGTAAATCATAGTATTAGTATGTCTAAAAATATATTAAACGTTACTAACATGTTTTTGATTTAAGCAGGTAAAAACGAAAAATAATTCAAACTGTATGATGTTGTATTTAGCAAAACAAAATCTTATTGACGATGTCTAACTGTTTGAAAATACTCCAAAAGTCAAATTAAATATTTTAAATGAGAACATTTACATAAACGCATTTACATTTTTATTGATTGATACTGTTGTTTCACCAATTGCCTCTTATAGTTTGCAAAATAATACGATTAGGTCATGAGTATGATATTTACTATTTCATGATAATACTTAACATACTTGATAAAATAAATTTCATTTTTCTATTGCATGCAGTGATGATTGATATTTTTTACGATTACATATTTTTATGACGATTTATATAGAATTGGACCGCTACTGATTATTTTGTAAAAATAAAACCCTTGTATTATATGTTTATGTAAATGTACTCACAGGCATTTGCCTTTTGTTCAATAAAATTATTCATTTAGCACAATTTTATGTTGGTTAAGCCTGATAAACGATAAACTGGCCTCTTTACACCGTTTAACCTTGAAATGAACACACTGGAAGACTTTTTGCGTTTGTAATAAATCATTTTAGATGGAATTCCCCCGAGAACACCGCTATTAAATTGTTGTTTATGATATCAAGGCAGTGTTTCTATTGATTATAAAGCCCTGCTACACATTTTGCAAAGTTCTTGAATACAAAGCTGTTTCAGGCATCGAGTGAACTCTATAAAATGACAATATTGTTCGTTTCAGAAATATCTGGAAAAAAGTGATCCCTCGGAAGCAGTCAAATAGCAAAATTACATGAAAATTGCAGACTCGGTTTGCTTGAGTCTGTACATGAGAAGACTTTAAATCTGATTTTAAACATTATAAATAAACTGATTTGATATTAGCATTAATATGTACTGACAATGCATTTGGCGTCTTGGTCTGTGTAATGTTTAACTGCTAGTATCCTTATAAACAAACACAGGTTGCAGAATGCATGAAAATGGAATAATTATTATTCTATAAGCAATTCATAGTATAATAAACATTCAACAGCAGAATAAGGGTGGAAAAATTTCTGAATATATTATGAATGCAAGTTATAAAATTTAAGGTTGGTTGAAAAGAAAGTTTTGATTGTTACTAATTATTCAATTATATAATATAATGTAACGCTACCGAAAAAAATCTGTATGAAATAAAATAGAAACCACTTTAAAATTTATAAGAGGTAAATACTTGGTTGCTGCTCGCCATTAGGCAATAATGACCCTCAAGCCAGTATGCACATCTTCGGACCATTATCGCATAATGGCGAGCAGCAACCAAGTAATTGCAGCAACGTCTTAAATACCTATGCCGGAAATACGGCGTTAATACATTGCCTCTAATCTTGGTTATCGCCCTTAGTTGTCAATGTAAACAAATACTTGTCTCGGATAACTTAGAAAACATGATAACACAAAGTTAATATGATAATATGTTGCTTTATTGTTGTTTAAATTGACTAATACTATTTATATTTATTTGTAGTTCAAGTTTTCTATGCATTTGTGTACTTTCAAGAATTGTTCGGATGTCAAGTCACACATTTAGTGTGAAATTAAATTTTAGTGTTTTAGTTATTTAACCTTTTATAACCATGACAACTGTTAGAATTTCACTTGGCGGGGATTCATTTTATTTACACTGTCTCGTTTATAGGAATATGGTGGGGCTAAGAGTGAGGTTTGGTGCACCATTAACCGGTTTAAACTCCCCAGCAGTCATTATTATGCTGCTGACCGTTCCAAGGCGGCGCCCCACTCTGTTCCTCAGATGAATGTCTATGTTGTTTCATACTGTTTTGGTGACACTTTTGCTTGTGTCCCTTGTTGTTTTCTCGTCTACGGTTAGTATCTTCCCAATTGCCTCTAGTTTTTATTACTTTGATTAACCCCCCCCCTCCCTTCCCCCCGGTCTCCTGTCCCCTTCCCCTTTGTGGGCCTTTTATAATTTTCTTTGAATTCCTTATCAGTTATAAATATTTTTATCATTTAATGTTTAACCTGTCCGTGCTCTGTCTTTGCCCTGTCCTGTTTTTGTTTGGGGTCCGCCTGGGCTCCTTGCCATTGGTTCTTGTTGCTGGGTCATATGGGGGTTGTGTTTATTGAACGCCGCCTTTCCTTGTTGATCTTGTTTATCATATTTTAGCTCTAAATGCCCCCAATCTTTTTTTTCTACCATCAATCTAAAATCATTTTCGGAATTTCTGAGAGTCATGTTTTGAATTTGGTAGAGTTACTGAATTTTTTCTTGAAATTATGATTATTCAATGTTAAGCTTTGTTGAATGCGACTGATTATGTCATCTCATGTGCAAGTGACAACAGTTCGTTCAACGAAAGCAGCCATTTTAAAAGTCATTGAGAGTTGATTACGTCATTCTGCACGTGTGCTCATTCACACTCCCATTATGGAAAAATAATGACGAGTAGCAAGGCGGCCAAGGTTGCATTATGACCTTAATCTTGCCAAAATGACCTTGAAATACCCTAGATTGTTTTTACTATATATAGAAACATAGGTATTAATGTGAAATTAAATGTATCGTAATTTGATTATCATAGCTAAACACTTGCGTTCATTGGATAACATTACAAGAACACAACTCGTTGACGCACTTTTTATAAAAATGCATGACTCAGGGCGCTATTCAAAAAGAATCACTGCAATGACAACCTTATATTTTCATTTACAACACTTTGTATTCGCAAGTTAAAAGCATAACGGCACCACTTTTAGAAAGCACGGATATACCCGACCAGATTTGTACTATATACGTTGATAACGCTAATGCGAGTTTTCCGTGAATTGGCAACTGCAGTAACCCTCGTACATATTAAATCCCTCGACCTGCAGATACGTCCTCGTGTTTCTCTAGGTATCACATGCACAAAAATGCAATAACTCTTCTACTCTTGCCTTGCGCAATAAACCAGTTTAAGAACGAATTTCCATCGTCCACCATTTGGTTTTATAAACATTATTTAGTACTTATTCCTTAACAATGAATGAAAAACAAGCACATTTCCAAACTAAAATATTTATTTTTCAGTCATTTAACGCATGGTAAATACTTTAATCATCAATAAAAATAACAACATGGGGTGTCATCGACAGTATTACTAGCATAAAATATGACATATCACAATATTCTAATAAATAAATTATATACACAATTCACAATTTAGGTTTACATGGGCAAAAATGACGCATTTATGCTTTAGCTTTGGGTTATATTATATACAGGGATGAAATAGTTTGGCCTTTAGATATGATGCCTCAGAGCTACTGATAATGGCTATGCGTGATAGTACATATAAACAATCAAGACTGTAACTTATGAAATATTCAAAGACTGGCGTAGATATTTTTTTATCTAAATCATTATATTTAGCATCGTATATGGCATATACATTTATAGTATAGGAATGTGTTTTGCATCTTCTTATTTTATGATCTTATATTAGCTTTGATATACACAAATGCATATTTCAGTATAAACAATTTGTTATAATAATTGATTGGCTTTTAGAATTAGGTCTCTATGTCTTTAAAAACAAAATATCTTTTAGAATAACTGTAAAAGCTAGACATATTTTTACACTTTTGGTGCTCAACAAATGATTACATATTGTTTAATTATGTTCGTCCTATATTAAAGATACAGTACAAGGACATTACATATATTCAGCAATGTGCAGTAGATGAAAAAATATATTTGCACGTAAAAAAGTAAAAGGGAACACAATATTACTTCGCTGATAAAAACATTCTTTGAAAGTATAAGCTTATAATGGGTACCAAATCTATACAATTTCTTTTCACATTAAATATACATCTATAAGACTGCTTTGTTGTTTATCCTGGATGGAGATCAATCGTTAATAGTAGGATGATTCTAGTTGATAGAATGGAAATACATATATACACTATCGTACATGTGCGTACGTCTTTGTAGAGAATGATCACACTAGGATTCTGTTTAACACACATGATAAATCTTAGCTATTTCTATGATATAATGGTCAAGTGTAAATCCATTACAATGTGAGATAGTCAAATATTTTGGGGCACATACACAATAATTAATACATCCATCAAAACTGTGCTCACTGTTCGGTCATGACGTAATTTTACTTGTCTTTATTATCGGATGCCAGTAATCAGTCGGCCTGTGTGGGTGTTCCATTATTTCGTACCAATGATCCAGTTGCTCACCGTGACTATACCATCCAAGCTCCACCTTAAATACAAAAGATTATTTCAATTGCTTACTGTTACGTAAACATAAATACAATTTGAATATGTCGATAATAGTTCTCCGTACCTCCTTATTCAGTTACATGTATTATTCATCTGTATTCAGAAGGACGAGAAAAGGGTAGTATTTAATAAGTAAACATGTATCAATATATTTTCATTAAACTGGTGTTCAAAAATATCTTCTGATTGAATCTTGTTATCATTATAATACATTAATATATCACCTGTCCTATCTTCTGAACTCCCATCATCATGTCCTTGTGGATTATATGAAAAACAAAAACGTGACCAAGAAGTTTAGGGTTCTCTCTGTTTATATCAAACACACAAGGCTGATTCCAAACTGGATCTTGCGTGTTTTGACGGACTTTTGTCTTGTGTTTTGCTTCTCTTATTCCATTTATGTACATTTCCACTTTGACATAGGGATCTACAAAGAAAGATATCAAATAATAATATATGTCGCCCTTATGCTGATTTGCTGACAACGATTACAATATCAAACAAAATTATGATGTTTGTTAATATGGTTAAGTTTTTTACGAAAAAAGCATAATAAGTATTTATTTATTTATTTATTTATTTATTTATTTATTTATTTATTTATTTATTAATTTATTTATTCATTTATTATACATATTGTGCGAATTAGAGTGGTTGGGTTAAATGTTTTTCTTGTAAATGAAATTCCATTTCGGAGAACAATAAAATAATTTTTCCGTTAATTATTACGCAAAAGTAATTGTCACTGTTTCTGTAATGATAATAAACATAGCACAACGAAAACATGTTGTAATTGTGTTTAACATGTATTATGCTGCTTCTTTTTTGTATATAACTTTTTGGTTGGGTCGCACCAAACACAGTATAAGTCAAATGGTGACTTACAGCTTTACTGTCCTTTCGTGCATTATTTCAGGCACAAACGTACACCTGTGTAGAACCACTGAATCTTGATAGCTTCTTCACATGACGGAATTCATGATCCCTGTCGGGATTCGAACCAACAGCGTTGCGGGGGCAAATGGTTTTGAAGACAGCGACCTAAACCCTCTGCCACGGATCCCCCAACAGAAGTATTCAATAATATTGCTAAAAATTATGTTTTCAATCATACTACGTACAAACAAAAGAAACTTCTTTTACTAAATAAACCACTACTTACTGACAGCACCAAGAAGTGATACTCGTGGTAATGTCCTTGCTTCTACCACATTGAATACCATTTTCCCTGCAACCGGCTGATAGCAACCAGAGATATGTATATCACCTTGGTGTAGCTGAAATACAAAATCTTATTTCATAACATGTTCTTTAAAAAATGCATTTACTAAGAAAGTGTTTTATGATTAACTCAATCCAATGGTAAACAGTGAATATTATGTATGATGTGTTTATGATTAGGTTTCGACATTGTGTGAAACGGTTCAATTTGTAGTTTGAAGTTAATGTAAGAATGTTTTAAATAAAAGTATGAACACCTTTCCCTGCATAACATCAAATTTGTCATAAACATTACCATATGTTTTAACATGTCTGTTATGGTAAAACACAACTAAAAACTTGAGATAGATGAATTGTTTGACAAAATAAATTAAAGAAATATTACCCTGTAAACACTATGAGGGAGTATTATCAAATCTACAAGTCCATTTTCGTATTTATCTATATCTTTCAGCTGGACTGCCGCCATACCCACCAGATGTCTACGAGTAATATGATGCGAGGAATAAACCTACGATAAAAATATTGAAATATTTTATTTTAAGTGTGTATGGAGGACGTAAAAGTAGACACATTTATAATGATGTCAATTTAAGAATATTAGTAGAATTGAAGTCATATGTTTTATTACGTTAAACGTTATCACGTGACTGGCTAATTAATTTATTTCAACATTTATAAAAGCAGGTCAGTTAAAATAGCTAGTGCGCCATTCTTTTTCTTTCTGAAAATTCATATGAATTGATTTTTATCACATGCAATTAAATCAAGTTTAATGAAATAGTTACTAAATAATTCATTACGCAAATGCAAGAAGAAAATAATGTCTCATGATTTTAGACGTTTTTTTATCTCGTGTTTTCGCCTTGTCATACAGTATTAATGTCTTTTGATCTTTAGTATTTGCTTCTTATCAGCAATTTAGTTGGAACAATAAGCAAACAAATGTTAGGATGATATGCGATGTTAATTTACATGTCTAACTTGAGTGTGATATTACATATGTATCTTTGTATGATATTACAAATGTATCCTTTGTGGGATATTACAAATGTAGCATCTAAAACTTGATATGTTGATTTAGAATTTAAGAAAGTAACACAATCTAACCTGGAATTCGAGAGCAGACCCATCTGATACCTCTTCTCTGGTTATTTCTTGAATAGAAAACTTTTCAAGGAACACAGGCGTCTGTAATATATAAAATAAATTAATTAAAACAGAACTAGATCACGTAAGAATGTTACCTTTTTCGATTTCTTTTTTGTTTTGCCTTAATGCCATCAGCTTTAACATGTCAGCTTTTATGTGTTTTTTTAAACATGCAAATGCCAACGTCGTTTTATTGTTAACCATCTCTATTTTGAATTGCCTCTTATTGATTTTGGTGTTACAACCAACAGTTTTAAAATCTTGAGAATCTATTCTGCTCTCATGAATTTAATCATGTTACTCTCCCTTGATTTATTTATTGTTTTAGTTCTGTATTTAAATGTTCTACCAGGTACTTGAAATGCCTTCACATACGGGTTTACATCTGTGTTACTTGGTAGACCAGCAATTCTGAGATCACCTGCCTGAAAATGGAAATACATAGTATAAAGTTTAAGCATTTTAGCTGATAATTTTATGTCAAGTTGTTTGTTTTCTGACTATGGCTGTAATAAATATACACTATAGGAATCACCATACTTAGATTTTGAAACAAGTCATCTTTATTACCTTTTCATCTTCAAAATTGTTAGGCTCGCAAATAAAATGAAAATTAAAATACAAGACTAAAATATGCAAACACAATGACATTGGGGAATTAGCTGAATAAGTTGTCTATAGGCAGGATATAAATGTTTCACTGAAGTCACCTATTCAACAGTAAGAAAACTATGCAACAGTAAGAAAGCTATGCATCAGTAAGCTAAATCATAACATGAACAAATAATTGAAATATATGAATAAACGCACAATGGAATGTCACGTTAACATTACCTCAATAATAATCACATTTAAAGCATTGTCTGTAAACTGTAGTTGTACTTTCAGACGTCCTGTGGGCTGTAAGGGTGTGGCATACCTTGGAGCCATCATTTCTTCAAGGTTCAAATCGTGCATCATAACCGGTGTGTCGGGTAAACCTATTCCTGGTGGTCTCTGTAAGGAATGAATGTAGAGTACACTATCTCAAAGCAAAGTTCTTAAAAATGAAAAAAATATTTACAAGAAGTTTGTAGTAGTTTGCATTACATTTGAAATCTCGATATTCTTTTGAAATACAGAAAAGAAATTATTGTATCATATGCGTTTCATTTAAATTTGTAACCCATAATTCTGATCCCAAAATGGATATCCTATCAATGTTTTTTATCATTATCTTTTATTCAATTGTTTATATTTGGCTCGAGAATCAAGTTCACTCTTATTGTTAAATTGATATGTTGGAGACACTTCTTGTTGAACAAAAGCGAATAATGTAAAAAAAAAAACGTACAACGATATATTACTTTTGATCGAACGACATTTTCCAATGAAATATTTCTTTACACAGCTGTATTCCAAATGTTTAATAAAATAAATTTTAGTACTTTAAGTTTAAACTCTAAACGGCTTTATTTGATCGATAACGACCGAATTTCTATGTAGACAATCATTTGATGGCATATAATAAATCCTACCAATTTCGGCTTTTTTCTCTGATATGGCGGTGCTACCGGGTTAGGAGTATGATCCAAAGCATTTAATGAGCTAACTACAAGTGACGACAGTGTAACCCGTCTTCCATCTGGTCGAGGTCGACCTGTATACAACAATATAATATGTCACAATTATAATGTAACTAGCGAAATTATAAAGCATGTTATTTTTATGTTAATGTATTTGAATAACAATATTTTTTCGTCTGTAGTAGCAAACTATTTCTTTTACTTTGGATTTAAATCTGGAGTTATTTCGTTTAATTTTCAACAAGTTTGGAAAGGATGTACAGATATCTCAACAGTCTTGCATAAGAACTGCGCACACAGGTATACTTTAACGGAGAAGAAAAAATCTATTGACGGGTAGATTTTTTTTAATAAGCGTGACTCGGGGCTCAAAATAAAATAGCTTTGTGTAATGACGGCCCTGGTAGTTTTATCATCAAAAGAAACTGTCAAAGACATCGCACTAGCACGTAAAAGCATTACACAAGAATGCTTAATACTGATAGGGAACGCAATAACACAATTCTGACATTTACTTTTTATGTTAGTATAGTGCAAATGTACCTAAACTTGTGAATTTATATCTGCAGAAGGAAGCGGACACACTCTGTCTCGGGCTTTAAAGTGTGCACGTGATTCTGCAGTTGGAAATGCACAAAAAAGGTGCATTTACCCTTTTTCATGAATGCATTTATTCAATTTTAAAACGATGTATTATTAATTACACTGACTGCAAACAATATATAACGTTTTGTTTAAATGTACCATTTTTTCAAAGAACCGTTAAAGTTGTTCAACATACCTGGTACTGGTGGCTGCTTTACTGAAAGTAGAAAAATAATGTATACAAACATATAAATATATAAAATATAAATATATTTCAACGAAAAAGATAACTTTGCAATTTTCAGTAATGTCAAAACATTTGTTATGAGTTAAACTTCTCTATGTACCTAAGAAAAATAAAACTTTTTAAATAGGTGTGGATAGCAACATATTTAACTTTTCTAAAAATTCTACTTTTAAAATGAATTTATTACAATATATTTGACAAGAAACCGGACACTTGCCTAGTTTTTATCTAAGCGTATTTTTACGCAAAACAAATGTTTGTATAAATTTTATTTCTTACTTTCAGGAATGAAAATAGCTGTCGGTCGACGAATTTCTGCAAGTGAATGACTCCTTCGGTATGGTCGTGGTCGTTTACGTTTTTTCTCATGTTCTTGCATGTCAGCAGGTTCTTCTAAACTTGACCTCCGGTTTTCTGGTGGTAGTTCTTCCTCTAGTGTGTACATCTCGTCCATTTCTAATGTTTCAGAGTCTGACAAATCTAAAGAATAAATACATTATTTTAAAATCTCAAGACTTGACTCCGGAAAACTCTTGACTGAGCCTGATATGCATTACAGTATATTTGTAACTTCATTTATAACCACTTTATTAATCATCGCTTTATTGACAATCAAATGTCTACGAACACAATCAAAGTCTATCAAGAGCCTTACTTGTCAAGTAAATATTTGCAAATGATGTTATGAATAGGTAGTCGGGAAATCACACCCAGGCGGCCCTATTTATTGTCAATTAAAATAACCTGACATCTCAAAACTCCAATCAACCAATCAACAATTATTTTTAAATGTCACTTTTTGACACTCTAGCTTCTAAAACAGGATAATCTTGATAAGCTTGTGCTGGAGGAATATATATTTATTTAGGTGGCTTTTATCTGTAAAAGTTTAAAAACTGCTTTGTATCATTCATATATTGATATTAAAGAAAAGCTTAAAGAGCCTTAAGCTTGGTGAAGTTTCATGTGATTTATATGATTTAAACATTAACTTGTCCTTATTAAAATACTCTTCGATTTTTTTTATATCTGAGACAATGAACATTTTTTTCTAATTAAAAGTGTAATGTTTAGAGAAGACTTTGTAATGAGTATATTTGAACTATAAATGGTGTTTCCTCACATGTGCGACACCAAAGGTTATTAATTTATAGCCCTCCAATTTATATCATATAACATATTCTCAATAAGGTAGTGGAGTCCATTAACTTAATTATTATCTATTTTTGTCACAGACTTAGTATGGAAATCAACCTAATTGTAAAGCGAGGCTATGTTTTCATTTTTCTGATTGAATTTATCGTAAAAATCAATAAACATATAAAAAGAAGACGTTACTCCTGATGGGAGATTTCTATAAAAGTAGAGATTTCCATCATTTTGCTACAACTCTAATTGACATTCTACGCGTTTAATACAAATCAGTGACAACAAAATAATGACTAAGCCATATTATGTTTTCAATCTCGATAACAAAATTGTGCCTAAAGAGAAGATGTTGGAATTAATAACCTACGCATGAGTTCTGATATTCTTAAAATCATCATTGTCAACAAGACCACTAGCTAAGATCCTTATCTGATCTTAAGAAAGGCTGGCAAAATTCATCACATTTTTCCATTTAGGTATTTCGTCTTAGATAATAGAATAATAGGAAAAACACTATGTGAAAAACAGCTCCGAGAAAATACGTTCAATGAGATAAAAACTTGCTATTTTAGTAACAATGAATGAACTAATTCAACGTGGGCGTCATAAAAATCACAGAATACGAAAACTAACGTTCCAATATATCTGACGTAGAATTACAGAGTTTTGTTACTGCGGTCACTTACAATTAAAGTGACATTATGCTCATGTTTTATTATTGTCATTATCAAGTTGACCTGAATGGCTATATATTTCAAAAGATTGACTGTCATAATGGTGACTGACTAACAGTTGCTATTGGAAAATGTTAAACAAAATTTTCTTAGACTGACCCACTTTGGGCAAAGTGAGTTATTTATCGTTCGTAAGAAATAAATTATGAAATATAAAGGAATTATGACAAAATGTTAACTTTTTGACTTTCACCTGTCACTTGGATGGGCATAATGCCACTTTAAGACATTCGCTACAATTTTCATATACTTAGGAAGAATGAAACCAGTGTCGTTTTTTTATATTTTTCATTATCATACAATATGTTAATAAAAGCATTTGAAGCTAAAAAAATGAAAAAAAACAATCATCAATCTCGTTTTGCTTATATCAAAAACAAAAAAAGAATCAGAATATTAGATATTATGGTTGGGTTTTACGTCGCATCAAAACAGTAGAGTTTATATGGCGACTTTATAGCTTTAATGTTGTTGGAAGTCGGGTGGCACGTGAGTGGAACCACCGACGTTCGATAAGCTAGCTGGATAGCTCCTTCACCTGAAAGAGGCCAAAGATCCTGACCGGATTCAAACCTACAGAAAAAAATTCTTAATGAATTGTTAAATGTTATGTCGGACATTTCTTCAATATTTCATGCCATTTTATAAATAAAAGTACTACACAAGTATAATCTCACCAGCCAGTAATTCATCAGTGTCGTCATATCTTCCTGAGCTAGCATTCGAACCTTTTCTACTACTCCGACTGCTTCCAGAACTTCTACGAGAGGTACAGTCTGACAGTAACGATGTTCTTCGACTGCACAGACTGCTACCCGATCCTCGTCGATCATTTGACGCTAAAGATGTCCGTCTGCTACTTAGACTACTTCCAGAGCCTCTTCGATCAGTTTCGTTTGAAGCTATAGAAGTCCGCCTGCTACTTAAACTTTCAGCACTACATCTTCGTAAATAATCAGAAGCATATGATTGTCGTCTGCTGCCATAATCTACAAATATTTGAGGCACCACGAATTTCGTCTGCTCTTGCTTTTTGTTCTGCATTGGTCCCATAACTAAACTCTTTTTGTCTTCTGATTTTTCTTTTTTTCTTACACCAGCTGAAAGTAAAAGGATAATGAATATAAAATCATCACATTATCCTATGCCTTTCACAATAACTGATCATCACCAGAAAAATGGCAATATAAGCGTTTCACGAAAATTGATTAAATATATGTCAAATTCATTTTGACCATAACAGTAGTTCGACCAATAACGTAAGAACTCTTTGTCTTGCTTAAGACGTTTAATTGTGATTAGAAAATGACTTTATTACTTTTTTGTGCTTCAACGTAGGAGTTGTCATTGTAGTCGTAGTTCAAGTATCAATAGAAGTCAGTTATAGTTTTTGCCGGGTAATACTATTCATGTAGTCGTAGAAGTTGAAGTAATGGTAGTCATCGTCTCAGTTTATTTGAAAACGTAGCCGTCAGTGTCGTTGAAGTCTTTGCTGCCGAAATTGTAGTCGACGCCGTAGTTGTCGCAGTAGTCGTGTTCGTAGACTTTGTCGTGTCTGTATTTATAGAAATTGTAGTCGTATTTGTAATCGTGCAATTTGTAGTAATTGTACACGTTCTTGTTTTTCTAATACCATGAATACATTGAGTCATTGTCACGGTCGTTATCTCAATCGTCGCGGTCGTTAATGTCGTAGTGTTCGTAGCCGTGAAGTCGAAAGTGCTACTGTGCTCGTAATCATACTGGTATAAATTGAAGTTTTATAAACTGTTAGTTGTAGCTGTATAAGGTATCGTAAATATGTTAAGTACTCGCGGTCGAGGTCGTTTTGGTTGTGGAAAACGACATATAGTCGAAAAAGTAGTCAAAATAAAAGCAGTCCTGTTCAAATTCGTGACCCCAAAAGATGTCTGCAAGGATTTTGAGGTGATAGATATAGCGAAGATAAACGTTGCACTAGTCGAATATGTGGCAAAGTTAACAACGAAGAAGTATTTGAAGGCGAAGTTGTGGTCGTTATCGCAGCCTTACCCGACTCGTAGTCGTAGAATTCGTACGTTTTGTTGTCGTCGTAGCTGTCCTCGTTGTCATAAGTCATATAAGTCGAATTGTGGTCGAACCAGTCATTATTTGGAGTTTGTAGCCGAACTTGTAGTCAAACAAGTCATAAAAATAAACATTATAAAACTGTAGTCCTCTATGTAAAAGTTTAAACTGACGATCTCGTGGTCGAAGAAGATGAAAAAGTGTGGGTCATCATCTAAGTCGTATTTGAACTCGTAGAATTGGTGAAGTCGTTATCGTAATCAAAACCGACATCGTTGTGGTAAAAGCTGAACTTGGATTCGTAAACTTCACTGTCATATTTATCGTTGAAGTCGTCTGCGTATACGTAGTCGTCTTCGCCGTAATCTTCGTCTTTGTCTGAACGAAAACGTGATGACGATTTTCATCTTTGTGATCTTACAAATAAAGCTGTATACAGCGATATGCAGCAATGATAAGCTAATACGTATTCTTTTTAAGATGTATACGGTGTAGCAGCCATACAAGTCTTGAGCTGCGTATGACGAATTTAACCTCTCGGTCAAGAGTTTAAATTTTACTGTATAGCAAATCATACAGATGTGGTGTGTACGCTTAACCATGTATTCAGTTCACCTTTCGCTTCATTTCGCCTACAGAATGGACATTGCTAGAAAATGACATAGTACAGATGATAAAAGTGAAAATATCCGTCGTGATATAGTAATTGGCTATATACAAAATATTTAACAGTGAATCCACTCTCATAAATACATGTATATAAGATTTAATTCGTTGGTGGTGATATACTTTTTTCATTTCGAGCTTAAAGATTGTGGAACTCAAACTAATATTATATTTTTATATATAGAGATTAAACAGAAAACATCAAGTTTATTACAAATGCGACATTAAACTAAAGCAAAACTATCAATTTTCTCGTTCCAGACACATTGAACAATGTCATTCATTCAATAAAGTATCACAACTATTGGGTTTTCTTACTAATATGAAACGGTATAAGTAGTAATACTCAAACCAAGAACATAAAAATAAAAACATTTTATAATAAACAGAAAAATGATTATACCTCGTCTAAAGAAGTCATTGATCTCTACGAGTTTAATGACTTATTGTTCTATCTTAAGCTGGTTGAACTAGACTTAAGGAAAAATGTATACAACGCCACTTTTAGCCGTTTAGAATGAATAATATTTGCATGTTTTGCACTTTTCGTTGCTAAATTGTACAGACACAATATGTATTCAAATATATACTCATGTTATACAACTTCAACAAGATATTCTCGTGTTACAAAAAAAAAGCGAACAAAATTTTTAGCAATATTTTTTAAAACATCAACGTTAATCAACCAAAATGATTTTACAAAAGATTTTTGTTTTTTTTTTATCAGCCCCCAAAACCCGTATTTGATTTTTATTTATATCGGATAATTACAAAAAAAATTTAAATTTCCCCGGAAAAATATCAGCAATCAAACAGCAACTGTTAAAACAATTTTACACATAAAAAAAATTTTTAAAAATGTTGAAAAAGGAACCGTTTTGTTCAAAAAGTTTTTTGTGTTATGAACAGAATTTTGCTTTCTGATATAATTCTAGAAAGAGTCATAAACCATAAAAAGATGTATATATTTATTTATTCAAAAGTATTTAAATATTTCCTTAATGTCCAGTTAAAATTAAACTTTAGAGAAAAGTGATCCATCAGAAGCAAGGTAAATATCAATAGTATATAAAAATTAAAGACTCGTGAGTGCACAATCATTCTCTCACCATTCCCTAGCTCAAGTGGTATTCAATAATCTTTAACACTAACGTGCTGGGCTTAGTAATCCCCCAAGGACCAGAAAAAGTGGTAAAATAATGTTAAAAGAAAACTTACAATATAAACGCCGTATAAGCCGTTTCAGCCCTCTGTCCCAGAAAGTCCTCGACCGTATGGATGGGTATCTAAAACATATGAATACTATTACAAAGGAACAGATCCCGAGTGTCACTACCCCAATGATTATTCCAGTAAGCTCGTCTGTAGGAACTGAAATAAAAGAAAAAGGGCGATTTTGAGTAAAAGATAATTGTTTGTATATCTTAATTTACAAAAACATGTACATTTTGTACAATAAATTGTAATTATAAACAATAGTATGTAACACTTTATCATTAATATATTGCTTGTTTCTTATTCAACTAATCATTTTTTTATTTGTTTACTTCGTATTTTCAACATTCTAATACTTTTTTCAGCTATTTTACTTGCATCTTTTGTAACCTGTACTGCTAGATATATATAATAAATTTGAACCAGACAACTGATTTCAAAAGGATAAATAAAGAAATAATTCCAAAGAACGTAGCTAGCAATAGTTGTTTGTTCCGAACTACAAATAAGAAACTTGTGTCCTTATTTAAAGTAACAAGTATTAATCAAGTACCTAAGATTACTTAAGGCAATGAAACAAATTGAATATTTTTGTACTTTAGAATTAATATAGAGGAAACATTAACAAGTACAGAAAGAGCCTGATACTCAGAGATAAGCATGCGTACTGGTAATAATAAAAAGCAATTAATGATTATCAAATCAAGTTTGTTCTGCCGGGATTTCATACAAAAGGCTATCAATTTAGTTTACAGATCTTCAACATAGGGAATGCTAGAGTTCATCGGGGGCGGCATTATAACAACACATTCAGGGTTTTTATTCCCGCCCCCAATAAATAGCATTTAGTTCTATGAAACAATATTCATTCTTCGTTCTTCCCGAAATCGAGGATTCATGTCGTCTGATTAGCATAAACAACATCATGTATTAATTATAATATTAAGCGTTTCCTGGATTGTTTTCTATATTTAAATATATACAATTTATCCACAATTAATCGACCTTTTTTCAACAAATTTATATAGCTCATATTCCACTTTACTGGTTCTTTTATATCGGCGATTTCGAAAACATTGTTGAATATTTTAACTATTGTACACGTCAATATCACCATTCTTAGTAAGATAAGATATTTCGAAGGAATTCGAGGAATATACAATATTGTAAAAGATTTATAGATAAAATTATACAAAGTTCAAAGCGCCTGTGAATTTCTAAAAGGAACTTTTGACTAATTTAAAAGAGTTGTTCAATTTCTCAATTATAATAAATTTAATAAATTTCTCACTGCTTGTCACATTAAGTATATAAATGCTTTTATTCCTATATGTTCATTTGTGTTGTTGGATTGTTTAGTCATATTGACACTCTAATGGTCTCGTGGAGACTTTCGAGCTTTATTAGTGGAAGAAGACCTCGCATGTTCTATTTTGTCAGCTCTGGTGGACACTCGCGTAGTACCTTCTTCATTTGTTAACTAGTTGGAAAGCCCAAATTATTCAAAAGTCTCTGGCGTGATTCGAACCTACAGCGTTTAAGAGCAAGTAATTTGAAGTCGACGACTCAAGGATACCATTTTATTCCTTCTACTTTTTTTACAGTGTATACACATAAGCTTTTATATTGTAATAGTTATAAAGTATGACCTTTAAAAAAAACGTAGATTGTCAGAACATTAGTTTGTTTTGTTATTTTCAGATTAACATATTATGCACATGTCTCTTCTAGACTGTCAACTATTCGCGCCGAGAAAGACATCGATACAATTTATTTTGTACGTTGATAATTAATTGTACGGGTTTAGAATTCCCCAGTGACTCTGATGTTTTGTTAAATATGCTTGTATTTCTCCGCTAGAAAGACAAACAAATATGCACTTTTAATTGCAGCTTATATAATACCTGCACAGGCCTGGACATTTATTTTGTTTGTTTGTTTCATTTTACGCCTTTTTCAACAGTATTTCTGTCATATAGGCGGGTAGTTTCCTAACCATCGTTCCTGGAGAGTTACACCAGTACTAGACTACCAACCTCCGCGCTAAACTACCAAAGCATCTCCCGGGGATCTAACCCACGCCAGAGTGGTAACTGGATTAGAAGTCATCGACTCTAACCCCACGACCAGGCCTGGACATAATTTTACTAAATGTATACCAAAAAAATGAGAATTTTCAAGACCAAAATGATAAAGATATCGTATGATAGACATAACATTAGAAAATAATTTACATTTTCTGATTGTTTGTTAATGTTTGTTTTATCTTTAAAGATTTAACTCAAAGCGCTGAGTATTTTCTAATTATTTCTTAATGACAATTTCAAAACTTATTAGAATAATTAAGGAAATTATAAAGTCATTTATCTGAAAATCTTGTAACAACAATTTGCATATTGTTTACATTTACTTGCGAGAATTGTGCCATGTGTCAATATTTGATAATATACTTAATGGTTTACATTTTTTTATAAACAGGTCAATAAGGCGAGAGAGGTTATCCGTAATCCTGTATCACAAGTTTAGAGATATGACAGCTTGCACATCTCTGTAGTCTGACGAGGCTTTATACTTGTCGCTTAGTTGTTATATTTTGATACCTTAAATCCCCTTAACTTTAAACTGATTGTTCTAAATTCAATAAAATTCAAATCCACTTCACAAATTTAGCAGATCAAGTGTAAAGATACAAAGGAAATTACTGTTATGTTATATTGCAATGACGTTATTGACATTATTCTTTATATTTTATGATAGCATTACTCATTGGTAATATATAAACAATGTATATCATTTTCAAGACTACTAACTCTTATAAATAAATGTCTCTATTACCTCTGTGATTTGTGATAACTTATGATACATTTACAATGATTTACAATGATTTCATAAGGGAGATAATAATTGATTTAATGTTGGTCTTATTGCATTTACGAGGAAATCTAGTATCGACTGCACTGTTAATATTGCATCTACTGGGTAGTAAATATTGTCATAGAGGAGACACGGAAGTGGCAATTATGAGTTTGATTCATTTATCTATCTTACTGTTGGATTTATTTATGTTTTGATACCACTTGATCATGGCCTATGTTAATTATTTTATTTCTATTTATATCAGTCGCTTCATAATTCAATTTTGTATCGGCAAATAGAGCTTTGCATGTGTTTTAATCACATAATAACTTAATAAATAGTAAACGTGCAGGTATTGGTGATAAAGAATTAAAACAACAACAAGTATTCTCTCTTCAAAAACATACCGGACAAAATGCATGATTTATAAAGAACTTCAATTTGTAGTGCTATATGATATAAGGATAAGAGAAAACAAATTCCAAGTCAGTCCTCTAAGAATTACAGGGAATTCACAGTCAGGCTCAAATAATGACCTACTCATTCGTCTGCATGTTTGGTCAGTTTATTATTTGTCGGTCGATTGTCGGTCCTTATATGATTATACTATTACCTAACATGTTAGAGGTTTACACGTAACAATGGTGAAATCCAATCAATATTTTTACGATAGCCTGTAAAAGTTTTAATTTCTCTATCGTCATAAATATTTCACATTTAATAAATGTAATTAAAATTGATTCTTAAACACATCTAAGTCACTATGCTACCATAGAATGCACATCAAAATAAAAAAATAAATTGTATTGTAAAAATATATAAAGGGGAGATGATTTATCAAGAGAAATAAAACAAATATTGAAAGGTATAAATTTCAAACCCGATTTAATTTTGTATCTGTTAATGAAAGGAACTGAAAAGTGCTCACGGTATTTCGGATCGACGTTAGAGATATTCGTTTCTCAACACAACAAAGTATTGGTATAAATAATCCAGAATGACCAGAAAAATGTAAATTTACAGAACAACATCCCCGAGACAGAAGTTCATATTATTCTAAAGATCTGATTTAAAATAGCACGTTTTATCATCTTTATTTAATATTTAACTGTTTCCATTTCCAATTTAATTTTAATTAACAAAATATTTGTTGTTTTTTTTTTTTTGTTTCTAGTGAGATTATATCGATTCCTGTCTACCTAATTAAGTCTCAATCTTGCAATGTGATAGACCAGTTGCCATATTCCTGTTTAACTATCAACTTCGTTTATTGCGTTCATAAAACACAGAATGACGAATTTCTCGAGCACGTGATGAATTATATCCTGTTGGAATGTTGCGACTTAATTGTACTTTATCAAAACAACGCGAGAACAAAATTACTTTAATAGTTCTGCTTTGCACATTTTACTGTTAAAATATGCACACATAAAACATTTGAATATTTGGATTTGTCTCTCTAACAATTTGATACAACTTTATCGACTTCATGGGGATATTGCAGCAATCTTATCCGAATTATATTGTTGTGTTGTGTTTTTTTTTCTTTTATTTATTTTTTCAGTATCTGGTATTTCTAGAATTAAAATTGATGGTGACAACTCAGCTCGGTTTTTAGCAATTCAAAATACATTGATAATGACTACTTATGGTATATCCTGTGTTGCTGTGGTGTTTTTTGAATGCCAACCGTTGTTGTTGATCTTGTTGTGATCACTACGATATGAGCCGCGTCACGACAAAAACCACCATAATGGGTTTGCGACCGGCATGGATCCGCGCAGTCTGATCAGAATCCATGCTGCTCGTTTACAAACCCTATAACAACTGATAGCGAACCCATTATGTTGGTTTGGTCGAGACGCGGCTCATATAATCTTGTTTTTAAGAAAGACTTAGTTGATAATGCATAATTATATTAATATTGATTTTTAACAAATGACATACAATTGTAAGAACATAATGTAGTTATGATATATTTTATCTATATTTCAATATATGCAGTTTTTATATCAAGCTTGCGGATATGCCAATAAATCGTTCAATAAATTTATTATATTTTCATTCGAGAAAGTTAAAGCATTTTTTTCTAGCTTTTTGTTTACATAGTAAAAGAAAACACAGTAGTTTATATGCTACATATGTGTTATGCTTTTACCATTCTTATATCAAGAATATATAATTAAAACTTACATACAATTTAAAGGTATTTATAACTATCATAACATGTTACCATGGTAATTCACATCTGCATCTGATTTTTCGAATGTATGAAACAAACAGGTCTTTAATGGCCTTTTTTTACAAAAGACAATAAATGTTGTGAGCCATCGGCTCAGTGTATCATCGTACATCCGAAACAGTGATTTTATCTCTCAGTAAAATCACTGTTGGAGTTCGAATGCGGGGAATTATATCACAAGGGCGTAGCCCGAGTGATATAATAATGTGCATCCGAACCACAAACAATAATTTTATCAAATGATTAAATCATCACCGATTTGGATATATTATTTCGATTCTAACACGACATCAACAAATAAATGCTGCCATACCTGATATTAAGCTTAGATGCTCCTGATGTGTTTCCGTACTTATTTTCAGCAAGTCAAGATTTTAATGGTTACGTCACGTATAACTAAAACGTCACATGCCATTATATAGAACGTCAAACTGTGATTTTATTGCATGATAATAACACACAATATGTTCAATAGGGAAAAAATGCGGGTCGTGTAAGAATGAACGATTAATGATGCTTTTGCCACTTGTCGTATATTGTCATATTAATTTTCGGTCTTATGAAAGTGAAAGGTTTGTTTGATTAAAAAATCTGACGTTTCAAGCTTTAAAAATTGTTTGCTTAAACAGCTTTTAACAGTGCACGTAAATGCGTAAAAGGCAATATTAAAAGGCTTTAAGGAAATTTGTAGATTGACCAATGTAAGATTTTGCTTGCTCGTTTTGCACGTCGAAACAGTGACGGAGAATTTTCGGGAAGCATAAACCGACTTTGTCCTGTTTTTGGATATTTAAGATGTATTCCATAAAAAATAATATATATAAAAAAAACGCGATCATGATAACAGCATTAATGTTCGGATGTTAAAAGCTACAATACTGCTATAGGTCGATAGTAACATATAATCATATAACGTACGTATCTATTGACAATTTGCAACGTTAATGGGTTGTAATTTCATTAAAGGAAAGTTTAGGAGAAAGGATGTCAGGCATTAATCTATTGACATTAAAGTTTGTTTGCCGGTCTAACCAGTAGCAATGTCATATTAGCAAATTAACAATGAACGGTGTTTCTGGGTACAGAGACATACGCAAGAAGATAATATAATACATCCTCGCTTCATGATACAGGAATCGGCAGTATATTTCACATAAACACCTGTCGTATCGGTGATTAGTACATTTTCATTTGCTTATATATCGTTTAACGTTTAAAATATAAATGCGGCTGAAGAAACTTGATATTGATAGATAAACATTCACACGGTAATTCTAAATTTATGCATTATAAGCAAATTTGTTAAACATAATTTTTAGGCATATATACATGAACATGTATATACTATAGTTTTCCAGAAAGAAAATGAAAGGGAAAAGTTTGATGAAAATATCTATATATTCTCATTAATTTTTTAATGTGTTAAATTTATCCGATCGTTATAAATTGTTTATGCTGCCCTGAAAAACAATTTAGGTTTACTTTAAGACCCCCTCGAAATATTTAAAGGTATAATCATATTTCAAATTATAGAATCTATCATAAGCTGGCATTTTACTCTGGTATATAAAACAAAAATAAAGTATTTAAGAACGGTTTTATTTCTGACGACGAGAAGAGCATAAAATAGTCGTTCATAGCATGACCGAACCTTTTTATCAAACATATCGGGTCGTTACTCTTGTGTAGAAGACAACTTTAACAACGAAACTAGATGCGTATATACCGTCAGAAATGAACCAACGCAGTGTTCCAAGCGATGGCGTACATATATTGCCTCACACTCCGCATATACTTACTTATGTAACCAAAATAGTCTTAAACATTAAAAGCTATTATAAATTGTTGTTTTTGTCTTTGTAAAAGAACGAAAAAAACAATTATTATTTAAAACGTCGCAAAAACATGTATATTAAATGCAAACTGATTATGGATACGAAAGACAGAAGACTGATATCAAAAATATATTATGCTCAAATTTGATATTTACAAAAAAAACCTGATAATTACTAAAAGTCTCTTTGGAATGTAAAATAAACATATTTTGTATTCACACAGAGAAAAATATTGTTTTTTTATTTCTACACACAACAAGTAATCATAGTATGATAAAATAGTGTCAGTAAAAAAACGCAAAAAACTGGCAGCTTTTATAAGAATATACCATATTGATTTGTAAAAAGTGATAGGGAATGCAGTAAAAGTATTTTGCCCAAAGATTAACATAGTATCTCTTTAAACAACGGTTTATTTCCTATTAATCGGTACTGTCTTTTTAATCATTTACAAGTTGTAGTAACGACTACAATAAACTGAGTGTATGTGACATTGGAAAGAAAATTTTATAATTTGTAAAGAAGATTTTCTTTGTTTCTTTATTTTATTTTTCTCATATCAAATTACGCTAAATCTATTATTGTCGCTTTCATTGAACTGTGGCAATGTTCTTTTGTTGAGATGATATCAATATCAAACTTTGTCTTTACCATGAACGATAATGCTTATACAATATATCATATTTCATAGCGATCCATTTAAATAACTGATCTGTATTAAAGTTCGCATTGTTTAAAACCGAGTGTAGTATATAAACCAAACATTAAAATCTAAGTGTTAAAATGGCGTGAAATTTAACGTAATTTAAATCGACACTTTTTAAATTCAAAAATGTGTTTGTTTTTTTAAATACTTTAGAGGGATATTAATCATTAAATGTAAGTTTTGATTTATGTCGTTCTTTATTAATTAATATAAAATAACAACCAGTCAAATTATAAAATCATATCATAGACTATAACATGTACATCAACTTCACACTCATAATATTTTAAAAAATGTAAATAAACTCTATTATTCTAATTTCAGTTGATTAATTGATTGCTATAACACGAAGTGATTTAGTGTAAAGTATCTTTCATGATATATATTTAATTTTCATTCCAAAAAAATGAATAAATAAAACTAAAATTGATAGTTGATGTTGAGATTTTGTTTATTTTTTGTTTTATAGATGCCATTTATACCGAAGAGTAGTGGCAGACCAGCCGGGACCCCTTCGCCAACACCCGGGGACTTCCTGAACACGCTTTTGATAGTTAAAGACACAGTTAATGCCACTTTGTTAACTGAGCACACAAGACTGTCTGATTTATCAAATACATTAACCGATGTGGAAGATCAAATACGGTCAGCCATTGACACGACCATAAGAAATCTTAAAACAGAGTATGAAAAAAGAAGACGTAAAACAATTCCCGGTATAAAAAGATTACAAGATTCATTAAAAAGGTAAGATATATACTGGCAAATGCAATTCTTTAACAATGACTTCCACTTTTACAATTGTATCAATATATATCAATTCCTAGGTCTGATTTCTTTAGGTTATTTGCTATCGGAATGATAACTAATATTTAAACCTTAACAACCGTATTAAGAAACAACGTTCTCTTATTATAAAATGTGAGCTATAAAATTGTATAAAAAAATATCTAATATTCAAATAAAGACGAGATGTGACGTGATACTTAGTCATAAAATGATTTATTATTTATCATATGTTTATTACTTACTTTTAAAACATGGAATGTGCAGTTAGTTCAAGAAACCCAAGAGTAGGTAAACTATTTATTGATTTTTGATACTTAGAAAAATTTCCTGTAATAAAAAAGTATATTTTGTTGTTTGCAATATTTTACACGTCGTCTCTTAATAATCACTAAATATAGATAAATCAAATACTTATTCACAATTTAGTTAAATGAATGCATTCAACGAGAAGTGTTCAAGTGCGCCAGATCAGCAGAATGTGGCGGTCTTAATACTTTATCTATTGAATGGACTTGCTCAGCTTTTAATTTGGATCAGACTATCCGAAGTTTATGGTATTTCAAAAACAAAATACAAAATTTGGGCTAATAGCAGCCTTTAAAGGGCTGGGCAGACTGCATGATACAACTTCCACAAATCAATCTTATTATTTACTTTTTTATTACCTACATAGCATTCGTTTGCAGTTAGCAGTTTACCACAGGGATATAAATGTATGTTAATGGAAGAAAAATGTTTAAACCTCAGGTTAACTGTTTACCTTTAAGTATGTATCGTGTATTATATAGATATGTAAAACTTTAGTAATTATTTGTTGTAAATGTTTGAAATGTATAAAAGTTTCCTTCATTCTCAGCAAAAATGATTAATGCACTCTCATTAGATATGAGCCATTAAATTGTGTATATTGTATCAGTTTGTAACACACTAATCTTTTACCGCAATATAAAAACCTCCTAGCATTTGGTGCAAATTTGCACCTTAAAATTGGAAGAGTTGTCTTGGATACCAATTGTTTTTGTTTATTATTACCGCTTTCAACAAGAAGTATTTTGCTTTCAATCTAATTATTTAGTTTTATTACCTGCGTGATATTCATTTGTCGCTGTCAATAGAGATTTGCTGAACAAGATATTGTACATCCTGCGAAAAGAGCTATAATGCGTTAATTACTTGTAGCAAATTTGTCATGTTTAGATATAGCAGAGAGAAATTTCTGTAAATGGAATAAATATGTTAGAAATTAGAAAAAATTTAAAGAAGAATGTAACAGACAGAGCATTCCCAGGAGGAAACATTCATCTTACTTTATCGACTGTCCAATAAGACTTTTACATTTCGCAAATATATTTCATGGATCCTTATGTGTCTGACACAATTTCTTATACATGTACCACAGTATCCACTTGAAATATAATTGTTTCCCATTTTAACTAGGTCAACATTTCATTTCAAAAGTAGTTTCAACTGAATTTCAGTCATGTTTTTAAGACATCTTAATCACAGGATAAACTGACTTTATATTATTTCGTACAATGAAAATAACTGAATAACCTTACTTTCTAGACACACAATATAACAAAGAGTTATCCTAAACTAGACATAATTAACTTTCTCGGCGTTTTCCCACATTGCAAAGAGATGAGGTAGACAGTTTATGTCTTTTTAACGTAATAATATATTCTGTGATAATAAATATGTTCTATTTCAGCCTGTCAAAGTCGGAATCAAAATGCAAAGCTTCAGAGAGGTATTGTAAAAATGCAGACTCTAAAAAAGCAAAACGTCGTATAAAAGATGCAAATAAAACTTTACAAGAGTGCACGTCATCTGATACCGATTTCGGGATTTCCACATTTGTTGCAGATCAAATTACACTCCTTTGTCAACAATTGATGCAGATACCGCCAAAGATAAGCCGACAAGAGGCAAGAGATGATCCAAACGACTTTGATCCCTTGGAGAAATCTGATTCAGATTCACAGGGAAGCAGTCGTGTTAACACACCTACGAGTCATATCTATACCGAAATAGATGTATTTCAAGCGAGAAACTCAGCATACATTACTCCAAGAAGAAATACATGCGAACTACCAACGGAGAAAATCGCAACCGAGAAGGTAAATAGTCATGATATAGATACTTCAAGCACAAGACTTAACAGTGTTCTGTTATTTTCAAGTGATAGTGAAGAGGATTATGGATTTAGTGATACAAAACTTAAAGTGAGTACAAAAAGACCAAAATCTGCCGGGAATGAAAATAGAAAATCAAGATCTCATAAAAAGTACGGAAAACAAAAGTCCGGTAGTCCTGACTACGAAGTACTTAATAAGCCAACAAGTTCAGATGTGTTCAGAAGATGCGGTTACATTGACAAAAATCCATCAAAAAGTCGTTTGAGTCCGCACCGTAGGTCAATTTCGCCAGTGATTTACGATGATTATGAAAAACCAGTAAAAAAAGAGATTGAAAGTTTAGGCGCTCCTATTAAAGAGTACATTAAAAGAATGTCACCATCAATTGAGCTTGGACTTATAGATAACAATAATATGGACAATAATCTAGTTCAAATGCAAATCCATAATGACGGAAATGTTTGCCACTTAAATGCAAAGCATGCACAAGAAACGTCAATGTCTTCGCGGACAGTACCGAAACGTTATCTTCCAGCTACACCGAAAGTAAAGAATGAAGACAAAAGTTATAGAAATTCGCCAGAGCAATTTAATACCAATCCACAAACAAAGGAGCATGGTATCGACAAAGTTGATGGAGTAATCGATTGTGATACTACTGACTCGTTTTCTATTTCCTCGGCCTGCAATACAATTGAACTTCTGAATACAGCACAGGATATGCTTTCCAATGCACGCTTGTCGGAGACGGCAGATCTTACACAAGACGGAAATCGAGTCTTAAACAGTGAAATCATATCGCTTGCGAGAAGACCAATGGCGTATGAAGACGATTATATTGACGTAGATGAAATCAAATTTAGAGAAACCATAAGATCTGCACGGCGAGAAATAATGAACACGCTTAAAAGTAAATATAGGAACGATAAGGAGCTTGTGTCTAATGAAAAAGATTTAACTGAAACAAAAAGTAAACATAATGCTTCTACTGACGATTATTCTCGAAACCGATTTCCATGCAAAACAGATCAGAACTCACCATCTTCGGTTAGAAATTCTGGGGTCAGCCCTAAATTTAAAGGTAAAGACAAACGTGGTGGTCACATTCCTGCACAAAATTGTGAAAATTCTGGGGTTTATAAAAGTAAATTAGTATATACTTATGAAACGGAGAAAAGAAAACTGAATAATTTCTTAAGGACTGATTTTGAAACAGCCGACAAATCTTCAATTGTCACTTCTGCAATCGAAAAATTTGAGAAAGCTTCAAAGAGTGATTTGAACTGTACTTCGGAAAGACGACACAGACCAGTGGTAAAATATGGTTTTGGGGGAAAGTATAGATCAGCTAGTGAACCACGCGCAGTTGTTTCCCAATTGAATCACAGATCGACATCCGAAATGCCGATTTACGCAAAGTCAAGTAAAGCATTGCAACCACGTAATTGTTATCAAAGTCATAGCTCAGATAAAGATGAAAAAAGCGAATCGAACAACGTTGGAGAATCTTTAATCTTGGCAAAATCATGCACAGAAAACGACCTTTTAAATCTAGTGACAAGTGAAACTTCAAGTTCGATACGCAGACAGTGGAGCAAACGAAGATCGTCATCGTTGACATCTCGTGTTGATGACGTTAATAAATCTAGTACACCGGTTTATCAGTATTGGGGCTCTTTTTCTATCCCAGAAAAAGCTCGCTGTTTCATTTCTGCTATTGTTGTTCTCGACGACCGGAGTGTTATTCTGTTGGACCAATTGCACGGTTGTATTCACTATTTTGACAGACTATTTCGGCACAAAGATCATTATAAGTTGTTAGAAAAGCCAAAGAGTTGTATTAAAATCGACTCTTTCACTGTTGCAGTAGCTTTTCCCTACAAAAAATGTGTATCTATGTTTAGTGTTAAAATGGATGCAATCTTGACAGAAAAGGATATCAGCGTACCGTGCCTTGAATGGATTGTTGACATAGCATTTTCAAAACCTATGATGTTTGTCTTATGTAAAGCTGGGGAAATACATATAATTTCAGAAGACGGATCGGAATTGAAATGCTTAAGAGTGGACTTGAATGGGAGATTATTTATTCCACCATCTGGAAAACGTTTTTTCATACTAGGCGAAGGTCGAGTCTCGAAGTTTGACGCAAACGGCATGTTTATTTCAAGTAAGGCTGACATAGACGCACATTCAATGATATTTTTAGAAAACATGATATATGTTGCTGACAGACAAAAACATAAATTGCTTCCATTATCGGGTCCTGTTGACAAGCATAATTTGATAGACATAAGGATAAAGTTTCCAACAGCCATTGGCAGTTCGATCAATGGAGATACTGTACTTGTAAGTCAGTTTGAAGATTCAATGGATCAATCATTGACACGCTCTGTTACCGTTTTCAAATTACACAAAAATTAAAGACATTTATTAGACTTTTCAACAAAAGCAGACACTACTTGAACACGATATAACATATACGGATGTACAAGACAAAATCAATGATATATGCAAAGATAATGTTTGATTTAATTCATAAAAATTATACGTTCTTTTTCTGTTACATTGAGAGACTGTTTTCTCGAAATAATACGCAGTCTGTCTACGAATCATTACTGTGATTGTATTTTATTGACATGCCTAACACATTGCTGAGAATATCTCTGAATTAAACAAGTGGTTTAATCCTCTTCGTATTGCTTGTCTCAATATGATGCCGTTAGATATACGATCAGAATTCCCTGTATCCTTGCGCCTCAATATTTCTATATTGGTCATCTCATTTCCTTCTCATTACAATTTCAATTTCCGGCTAACGTAATTTCCGACAAAGGAACTAACTGTATTTAAGATTGTGTTCTTGAATGTAACTACACTGTATGAAAATGCTGTATTGATGTATTGTCGTTTGACACTGGGAGGTAAAAGGTTTTACAGTAGACTTTTTGATATTGTGTCGAATTAATGTTTTGCAGCTTTCACCATTCTTCACTTGCAGTGTAATTATTTGAATTATTCTGTCGCCATAGTGATGAATGTTAACAATCTAAATATAGACACGCGTATATATCTGAGAACAGAAAATAAATATTACCATTTCAGAATGAAAAGAAACTTTGATGTGACAGTATCAATGAATTTAATATACAATAAAAATTTACATACTTTAAATTAAATATCCTCCTATTTGAATTGAAGTTTCCTGTCTTGTAATTATACAGCTATGTAATAAAAGCTCTTAACGAAGGGTATTTTACAGTATGAAATTTGTCAGTTAAATTTAGCAAAGAAATCTGACTTGACGGAGTAGTGTCTTCATAGAAAATACGTTCATAAATAATCTAAAGAACACTGTTTATACTACTTTATTTTAATCTGTTTTTTTGACATGCACAGATTTAAAGGACATTATGATACAAATGACCTTTATTTATACAACTTAAATGAACATGAAATATTTACACTTGCATTTAAGTACCCTTTTAAGCATCTTAGAAATATCTTATTCGATCGCATATATGCAAGTATCTAATGCAATATAAACAATCTTAGCTTAATATAACCACAATCTACTATGTATTCTTCTAATACATGTCATTATGACTAAATGCAAAAGCAAAGACTAAATCTACAAATTATACCCAATTAATTACATTTTTGATATGTGAGTATCTTTTCATTTAATTCCAGTATGAAATGATAATGCTATGGAGTGAACAGCTGTTACTTTTGTATAAATAGAGTATAAAGGCATAACCTCTACACTGTTCTGCAACCAATCAAGATTAAGTATTTCTTTCACGATAGCACTACATTTTGTGTTTTATTGCATAAACGATAATTTATCATGAATATTGTCGTCGTTTTTCGCTCCTGCTATTTTAGACAACTGGCTAATTATTCCACCCCCATCAATATTGCGGTTAACAATTAATATAAACAGTGTAACTTGCACTTAAAGCCTGTGAAACACGGCGCCATTGTGGGGGAGTGAATTATCTAAAACTAGCCAGGTACAATCAATGATTGAAGCACTGATAGTACGCTTGTGGGCTTTGAATAGAAGCATGCTTCGAAAAAGACTAAATAAGAATACAATCATGGTGTTGGAAAAAGTATTAATGCACCTTCAAGGTTAGCGAGTAGATTTAATGTCAATGTATCAATGCAACCTGCAATTCTATATTTTCTCAATGTCTCATTAATCAACATTATCCGCAACAGATACACATTTCATAATTGCATACACAAAATGTAACATTGACAGAAGGTGTATTATATGAAGGTAATTTATTATAAGTAAAATGCATATACAGTGTAACTTCTGGAGAGCGGCCATCTGAAGAGCAATTACCGCTTTGCAAGAACAGCATTATTTTTACCGATCGGAAGTAGAAATATTTGTCTCCCATAGGGTGTTGCTTTTCAGAGATTATACTGTATCTAGTTGTGGCTTCCTGATAATTTGGCATGTTTTGGTTTTGAACTAACACGTCATTACTCTCTTACATTTTAGTTTTCTAGTGCCTTGAACGTTTTATACGATAATGATTTTAAATATTTGATTTGATATAATCATATTAGATTTTTTTTTTGTTTTTGCTCTATAAGGAGCGTTTGCAATTGTCAATATCGCTCATCCATCTTCTGAAAAAACCTTTTTAGATGGCTGAAACAAGATAGATATATAGAGATAGAGTGAAATTAACAGAATTAACTATGGTAAATCTAATGATATTACTATATACGAGTATATATAAAATGTTTATATCTTTTTTTATTCTGAGTATACGTTATTATTTTCCTTTTCTCAAAACTCCTTTATATTATGTGTCCTGTTACAATATCAAATCTAAAAAAGATAATAAAATCGTTGGCCATCTATCCATCTTTTGCTACTTACTCCATTCTCGCAATAAGTACAATTATAATTGTAGTGATTCAGTATTTTATAGAAAACAAAATACCACTTTTTTCTCATTCAGCGCTTTTCAATTCATATGTTAAGTACGTAATTCGTTTAAGTATACTATGATAAGATCTAAAACATGATAAGATCTGAAGAAGACACACATATTTTCTGAGGTCTGGTCTTCCTTTATTATTTTCTTTTAATTGAAACTAAACAGGAAATAAAACAAATTACATTTACATTACAAATATCTTGTTGGAATACGCACTAAGATGAAACTGTGCGGCCTTGAGAAAAACTTTGTTGTATCAAAATTTCTGAGGATGATAAATTACAATTGTGAGCCGCGTCATGACAAAACCAACATAATGGGTTTGCGACCAGCATGGATCCAGACAGCCTGCGCATCCGCGCAGTCTGATCAGGATCCATGCTGTTCGCTATCAGTTTCTCTGCATCCATGCTGGTCGCAAACCCATTATGTTGGTTTTGTCATAGCGTGGCTCAATCATCCTTAAGCTGATGTACATGAGAAAAGTGTAAAACTGTAAATGAAACCATTTCCATTACAAGCCATTTACTACTCTATGCGACATCATTCATATATATAATTCAGCATCAATAAAGATAATCCTTCGGGATTCTTTCAGTTCTTGCATGCGTCGTAAAAAGACTTATTTTCCAGCAGAAATCTAGCGGAGAAAGAAAGCTTTTAGCTTAAGAAGAATGAAAAATCCGCTGAAAGCTTTTCTTGGTAAATGGATTTTATATCCACGTAGTTCGTTATTTATGGCTAATTTGAAACATCATAGCGTATACAATAAACGAGAATATTTTGTTCCGCCAGTAAAAATCTGATTATGACCATGAAATACAATACCTTATTCTTAAGGTAAAAAAATACTTTATTTCTCAGACGTCGAATTCGATAGCATGAATTTATGTTAAGTTTTATTTGTGATTTAGACGCACTAAATTGCGATCAAAGATACTATTAGTATTTAAGTTAGTTTAATTTATCTAATTACCCAAAATATGAAAATAAGCTTCAAATATCAGACAGATGAAAATCAAAAAATCCGTTAAAGGATAGCTTTCTTTTCTTTACAAAGAATACAATAAAAATACTCTGAAAACCTGAGACTGGCTTGGCAAACCTTGGCTGAACAAAATGTCGGGGTTCCAGACGGATTTCTGTATACAATGCCATTTATTTATAATTACGATTTTACCGTTCAACTCTTCTGGCTTAGTCATATTTTACTCTCTGTCTGCAATAAATGTCTGAATTATTTTGTTTTGACTAATTCTGTTTTGCGAAGTCTTAAGAAGTACGGATTTTTAAAAGTTAACGTTTTTAACCTTTTTATTGGCTGTTAACATGTTTTAGTGGAATTAATTCTTACTTTTCACATCTTTATTTCTATTTATAAACTGATGTACGAAAATGTTTATAGCTAAGATCAATCTTTTAATTAACAGAAATTAGAGATAATTATTTCTTTTATTTCAATGTATTTTTCAAACTGTCTTCCTCAATTTTGAAAAATCGTATTCATACAGCAAATGACAGGCTAATGATGAAAGAGGTGATACTTAATTAAAACACACAATGACATGTATTCATAAAGCCAGATAAAGTTATTTTTTAATCAACATTTAGAATATAAAGAAAATTGACATTAATTTTTGTGTGTTTTTCAGAGGATATTAAATGTATGTAAGACGAAAACTGATTATCGTACATGATGTGTTTGCAGATATTGGCCTTCAGGCAGTTAATAATGTTTAACAAGTACTTTAGACAAAAATTGTAGGACGATTTATTGAATAAAGCTACACAATATATAACAATTACATTGGTAGTAAATCATTCTAGTAAAAGATTTGTCTATTCATTCATGCACAATGTCAAGTCAGCATCATTAATATGTGCGTTAACGAAACGTTATGTGTGTAATTTCATAATGTCAAACGCTAACGTAACGTCATGTATGGTTACAAAAACCAAACAATATTTATTCAAAATGTTTGAAAAACATTTCAATTTTTGTTAATTATCGCACACTGGAAACAGCGACAAACGTCATCCAACTGAATGTCTAAGTGATAATTATAATGAACATTTTATTAAAATATATTTAAAATTAAAATATTGTGAAATGAGCATTAAAAATAAATTGCAGATTGCAAATGGCACTTTAAAGCCATGTGAATTTCCAAAAAGGGATCAGAACATACAAAAAACTCATATGAAATATGGTGATAAATATTGAAAAATCATTCATTACTAACATAAATCATGTACATTATTACTTGGCTCATCTTGAGGTATGCACACATAATTTGATGCCACCAATATATATTTGTTAAACGTCAAAAGTCATCTCGTGTCTTTTTTTCATAAGAATAATTTGCATCTAGTATTAAATTAATGTGTTTGAAAAAGAATGTTTTATTACAATTAAGATCCAAGTATAGCGGATTTGATTACTTATTCTCAAATAAGTGAAATAACTGATATATTGCGTCAATTTATTTTGTTGAATAAAGGCTATGATTATCACCTTCGTCATAGCAGTGTTTGTTATATGATATAAATATGGTACATAAAACATATTGCTGGGAGTATTGAGAATTTGAGAGTGAAATATTTTATAAATGGTTAAATATTATAATTGAATATCTTTGTGCTACATGGCAAACTGGTTCAAACCATAAAAGGATTGTCTGTGCATGCTTTTTTGTCGCGTATCAGATATATTTTCTGAAGTTGAAACGTCT